GGTGCGGCAGATTTCCACAGCAGTCCTCTCTTTGTAGATGTCCTCAGCACGGACTTCCCCTCTTACGCACCACGGACCGCGGCTCCCGGTGTGAAAAGAACTGGCTCTCTCTTTGTGGTTCCGTCCCACATGCCCAGAAGCAGCCCTTCTCTCCGGGGGCAGTGTCCCAGCTGGTGGAAGCCCGCACACGTTGCCACTCTCCATTCAAAGCACTTTTTTCCAGGACTCAGGGTAGTGTTTATCTTAAAACATTGGAGAATACCAGAAAGTCAAAAGAAAAATGTTTTGTGAGTTGCCCCGAGTCCTGCCAGCGTGCCGTGCCTCCGCCCAGGCTTCGTGACAAAAGGCTTTGTGTCTTTTTCCTGTGGTTGTGGTCCTGCTGCGCCGATTAAGTTGGATTCTAGTTTCTGAGGCTCCACAGTCCCCAGTGAGGCGCAAGGCTGTCCCCAGCCCTGTGGTTCCCACCTCTGGCGGCCCGGCCCCTCTGGACGGCCTGGGGAGCTTTAAAAACCTGCCTTCTCGCCCGATCCAGGTCCGCGCCACTTAAATAAGGATGTGTTTGCATATAAAACTGTTTTGATACTTGAGGATTCTGTGCTTAGTGTCCATCAGTAGAGCAGTGGGTCTCCATGGGGGCGATCCTGACTCCCAGGGGACACTGGGCCATGTCTGGGGACATCTGTGGTTGTCACGACTGGGAGAGCTCCTGGCATCGAGTGGGTGGGGGCGGGGGATGCTGCTGCACACCCCACAGTGCCCGGGATGGCCGCTTCTCTCTACACGCACAGATTTATCCAGCCCCAAATGTCAGTGGTCCGAGCGAGACTGAGGAAGCTGGTCAGTGTCCCAGCACTGGGCCTGTGTGTGTCCTTGGGACGGGATGGGAAAGTGGGCCAAGCTGACAGGGGACAGACAGAAGCCCAGAAGAGCACCAGCTCCCCACAGCTCCTCAGGGCCCGGGGACAGAGGCCAGGGAGCCCCAGCTCCTGGATTGGGTCAGCCGGGGCAGTGGAGCCGTCTGGGAGGAGCTCGGGAGGCCTGTGCGGGGTGTTTGAGTGTGCCCCCCTCCCCCGAGTCCTCCAGGGGCTCCAGAGAGGAGGTGCGGGCGCCAGGGCTGGTCAGCCCCTGCAGGGGGGTGGAGCCGAAGCGGAGGCCTTTGGGCTTCGCTTTCTATTATGCAAAGAGGCGGCCCAGGAGGGGCCAGCCTGGTCTCCAGCTGGTCATTGTTGCCACCTCAGCCTCAGTTGCCTCTTCTGCAAAATGGGGTGATGGTGTGGGCCTCTTGTGTGTCACGTGGCTGCACTGCAGAAACTCTTTCTCCTGCCCTGCTGTCCTCTACCCGCCCCCGGCCCCTCAGAGGCCCCTTTACGACTGGGCTTCTAGGGGTGAGCAGAGTGGTGGGCGCCCAGGCGTTCGGGCTGTTACTCTGTACCCCCCCGTGCAGGTCAGTGGACTGGTCAGTGGGATCTTTTTTTTTTTTGAGGAAGATTAGCCCTGAGCTAACTACTACCAATCCTCCTCTTTTTGCTGAGGAAGACTGGCCCTGAACTAACATCCATGCTCATCTTTGTCCACTTTATACGTGGGACGCTTATCACAGCATGGGTTTTGCCAAGCGGTGACATGTCTGCACCCAGGATCCGAACTGGAACTGGCGAACCCTGGACCGCCGAAGCGGAATGTGCGCACTTAACCGCTGCGCCACCCGGCCGCGGGTGGGTGGGATCTGACTCGCAGCAAAGAGCGGGACGCTGAGAAGGGGTGGAGGAGCAGAGGAGCTGCCGGTCACGGGAGCTGCTCAGGGCCGATGCAGGGCCAGGCAGCAGTGGGGCCTCCTGGCCGCCCGTCCTCCTTCGTGCTGGCCGGGTCTCCGGACATTCCTGCGGGGGCAGCCTGCGCCCTTTGAGGAAGCAGGCACATGTGCTAGTGATTTCAGGGCAATAAGTGCGGCGGCTTCCTCTGGGCACTGAGCTTTCTGGAAGGGTGGTGTGGAGCGCCGGTCCACATTGGCTGCGTGGGTGGCAGGCAGGCCTGGAAGTGAGGCGTTTCTTGGGGAGCCGCCCTCCCGCTTGCTGCTTCGTTTGCTGGAAGAGAACGGGGTGGGGGGCTGATGGGGCCACAGTCTGGGTCTGGGGCTTGGCCATTCATAAGCTGTGGCCCTGGCCGGGACACACAGGTGCCCTGGGCCTCAGGGTCGTCCGTAAACTTGGGAGCCAGCCCCGGGGCCCCACATGGCCTTGTCTGGGACTGTCTGACTCCAGCGCGTGTCTATGGACCGCACAGGGCCCTGGAAGCAAGAAGGGCTGCCCAGCAGCCAGAGCTGGGCTGGGTCCAGGAGAGAGAGCCATTGGCACCTGTGTCTGCAGGGGAGCTGGGCGAGGATCCCCGAGCAAGTGGGTACGTCTTGGCTTTGGAGGATGAGCAGCAGTGTGCCTGGTGCTAGAGGCGGATGGGGCACAATCCAGGACTCTGGGCAGGGAGACCGTGCAGTGAAAGGCCTGGAATGTTCTCATGTTCTGTGGTTCAGAGGGGCGTGGGAGCAGGAAGGAGAGGCTGCCCCCCAGCATCACTCCCACCCCCAGTGGGCCTGGCAAGGGTCCTTGTTGTCACACTGACTTGTAACTTGTCCTTCTCTAGCACAGGCCCAGGGAGTGCCACCGTGGTCTGGCTGGTCCACCCCAAAGACGGGGAGCCAGTTACCTTTCCATGTGGCTGCCAGGAGCTGTCTGTCCTCCAGGGGCTGCCTCTTCTGATCACCACAGAGGCCCGTGTCCACGGGAGTGGATGTGCTCGAGGCATCGAGGGGCCGTGGCTCTTGGGCGGTATTTCATTTATTCCTTCACTCACTCGTTCCACACACCTTTGCAGACATTTGTGCTGGCCAGCTCGGTCAAGGCCAGGGGAAGAGAAGAGCCAGTGGGTCAGCGTGCTGAGCTGCTGGACCGCAGGGGACAGGGGGAGGCAGGGCCTGGAAGGTGATGGGGAGGGCGTGTCCAAGGGGCACTGGGACTGCATTCACTCCAGGTCCCTCCTGGTGATGCTTGTCCCTGTGTGTCCAAGAGGCCAGGTCCATCCCTGCCCAGCAGACGGTCACGCGTCACAGTCGCATGTCTGGAAAGACCTGTCTCTGGCAGAGTGGCCCAGGGGACCGTCAAGGACTAGCATCGTGGGCACTGTTTCAGGAGACGGGAACAGAGTCCCCGTGTACCCGGGTTCCAGCACTGTACCACCCAAACACCTCAGTCCCCTGGTTCCGCCGGGAGGATGTGGGAGGGCTGCCTGGAGGAGTTGCTGAGACAGAGGCCTCGTGGCCCTCTCTCCTGCTCTGGGCGGGAAGCCAGCGTGGACATGAACGTGGAAGGGGACTGGCCCACCTGGAAGGCCAGCCCTCCGTCACCCCCTCCTCAGTGCCTGTGTGCAGGGTCAACTAATAAAAGCTACTGATGCTCACGTGTGACCTGGCGTGCAGGCTCTTTCTTAGGGGACGCGGCTGGCCCCCCCTAGCCTTGGTCCCACATCCAGAATGCTGTGAGAGACACAGCATTCATCTCCCCTGGCTGGGGCCTGCACCCCCACCTGGCTTCACTCGGAGCACCGGAAGGTGCTGGGGGCCTCCCAGGAACCTCTGCTGTGGAGGAAGGTGGCCCCAGAACCACCCACTGGAAGACGGGTTTGGGGAATCGGAAGTGTCCCGGGGCCAGAAAGAGTGAGAGAACTCTCTTTTAAAGATGTTCTTATCCAGACCCGGACAGTGACTTGTGTGCCGCGGACAATCTGCGCGGATGGAGGAGGGCAGAGGAGAGGCCGGCCCCGCAGCCCCAGGCTCCCTTGTCCGTGCCCTGTTCCCAGTGGCCGCAGTGGGCCCTGTGACCGTGGCTTCCCCGTCCTCACTCTATGCCGCCCTGCAGTTTTGAAGTGTGATGGAGCTCCCAGCAGTCATGATCCTGGCTGCTTGGCACCAGGCGGGGGGTGTTTCCAGGACAGTGTCGCCCTGTCCTCCTGGGATCGGGATTCGGAGGGAGGGCGTGCAGCTGGGCAGCCTTGTGGTGGAGGATGCCCAGGGTGGCGCCCAGGGGTACGGAGGGGCCGAGTTGGGTGGTGGTCCAGGTCTGCCGGGGGCCCTCCGGCTTTTCTTTCCCAGAGCCAGCTGTGTGGTGCCTCCTGCCCCCAGCCCTGGCCTGGCGCTGCTTCCCTGCTGGGGGCTTTGGAGCTGAGATGAAGCTCGAAATCCAGGGTCGCGGGAGGGGTTGGGGGGGCTCCTCTGGCCTCATCCTCCTGCCCTGGAAGTGCAGGCCCCCAGACACTGCTCCTCCAGGCACAGCCCAGCCTCAGCCGGGGACATGTCTCTGACGTCCCTTCATATGTACCCTCGAGTACCCACCCCCAGGAGCCACCTCGGTTCTCTCCCCAGGTGTTTGGGGTAACCCAGGCAGCCGCGGGGCTCTCCCCTCTGGTCCAGAATGAGTGAATGGCCGGGTGCCTTCACCCCTGGGCTTCAGGCTCCTGGCCTGTCCACTGGGGGTGGCCAGACATCCAGGAGTGGGGCTTGAGGGTGTCCTGCTTGGGGGGTGGAGGGGAGGCCCCCAGGAGCGGGGACTCTGGGCCTGGAGGAAAGGAGTGAAGGCTGGCCCCCCTGAGGACCTCAGGGGCTACTCTGCCCCCACTGGGGGGAGGCCGGCCTTCAGGGGCACTGTCTGCGAAATCCCAAGGTCGGGGGTGCTCCGACCCTGTGAGCCCGACTGGCCTCCCGCCCTGCGTTCCGGCCGAGCCGTGACGGCCACTGGCGGCGTCTTCCAGCACCGTGGCCTCGGTTCCCTCCTCCGCCTTCTAGGCTTCTGCCCCGTAGGCAGCTCGGGGCAGGGGGTCCAGTCGTTCCACGTGACTAGCCCCGGTGTCCTGCTTATCTCTGGTGCACAAGGACTCTCTCCCCGCCTCGTGCCCACCACCCCTGCTCAGGGTCGCAGGCTGTGACCGCCACCTGGGTTGGAGGAGTGAGTCCCCACCGGTGTCTTATCAGGGGGACGAGACCCCCGTGCAGTCGGGTGCTTGTCATCTTTGGGCCTTGGGCCGAGGAGGAGGAGGAGAAGCAGATGGGTGATGGCCAGTCCTGCGGAGTCAGTGCCAGGTCTCCCTGTGGGTGGGGAGGACCCAGGTTTGGGGTCGGACAGACCTCTCAACAGCCACACGGGGCTTAGGAAGCTGCTAGCCCTGGCCGGGACCCGGTCTTGCCGTTGGTGAGGTGGGCTCACACGGGCAGGGCGACTGTGAAGACCAGATCGGGGAGGCCTGGCGCGCCTCCTCGCATTCATCGTGGGGCCGGGGAGAGGGAGTCAGGCACAGCAGGGTCGCGCACCTCCCCCGCGCAGCTGTCTTGTCTTGTCGTTGTGTTCGCTTGTCGTTAATTCCCGTGCAGCTGGGGCGTGTGCAGCGGGTGTGTGAGCAGTTCTGGGGCTTAGGGGGCGCGGCGGACCCAGGCCAGGGCGTTTCTGGGCAGAGGGAAGGTTCGGAGAGATTGGAGCTGGCCGCCAAGGACTCGGAAAGGACCACTGCCCCGTCTTGTTTGTCTCGCCTTCCATGGGCCCCCACGGGTTCTCAAACTCAGCGTCCCCAGCCCTGGAGCTGGGGCTTTGGCCTCCCCTTGTGGAGGCGGGGAGGCAGGCCTGCTGCTCTCTGCCTTGCTGCACGCCTGCGCCAGAAGCTGGCGGTTGGAGAGGGTGTCAGGATGGGGTCCCCAGAGAGCTGCCTGTGTTACTGGCGCTGGCTCTCTCCTGCAGCCGGAGCAGATCCTGGTGAGTGTGTGGCCGCTGCCTGCACTGAACCCAGCATGGCCGGGCCCGGGTGGGCCGTGGGGCGGGGAAGGGTCTTCCCAAGGGGAACCCCTCAAGTGACCGCCAGGCAGGCCCTTTGCCTTGTGGGTGTCCCTGGAGCCGGGCAGCAGCTGGCACCCTCATTGCCCCGTGGCGGGGCGGAGGGGAAGTTAGCCCCTGGAAGTGTAGCCCCACAGCCGGGCCTTGGGGGGCTTTTCTAGTCATCCCTTTCCCCAAAAACAGCCCAATTAACCTTGTTTACCAAATGCATGCATGTGTACCTGGTACGCACCCCTGAAAGAGCACCCATTCGGCTCCCTCCACGTTCGCTCCCAGGAATTGGAGGACTCCGCCTCGAGGGTCCCCTGCCTGTCCACATGCTGACGCGCCCCCATGGGTGGGCGGGCAGGGCTCCTGGGGCACTAGGCAGCTGACACACAGGTTCTAGAGTGGCTTCACCAGTTGCGACAGGCCCCCAGGGACCTGGCCCCCTGCAGCAGGGTGGAGCAGGGGCCAGGTGTCTCGAACAACGACCTTCTGCATTTGTCCCCTGACCCCCGGAAGCCTGAGGGAACCTCAGTGGGGGCTCCGGGACCCACCCGCTTCAGGGGCCAAGTGCCTGGCATCTGTGTGCTCTTAGCTTCTAAAACAGTCCAGAGTCCCCCAGGCTGGTGACCTAGCCACATGTCACCATAGCACTGCGGGGAGACTGAGGTCCCCGAGGGGCAGGCTCCTGACTTTGACCTTTTCGAGCCCGCATAGGGTGGTTTCTTTTGCTCTATGGTGCAGGGGGCCAGCCACCGCCTGGGGCTGAACATACCCCGTGTTGACAGGGCTCCTGGATGCTCAGTTCTGGGGGCTCTGTGCTCGGCTGGACCCACCTTAGAGTCCGAGCGGCTCAGCTCCCCAAGTGCACCCACGCTTCCCACCTGACGGGGTGCTGGGTTCCTGGGCTGCCTGGGGCCGGAGGGGTGGGGCCGGTGTAACTGCCCTTAGAAAACAGCTGCCAGTGCGGGGCTCCAAGTTAGGAAACAGGACCACCTCTGACCTAGACACCTGGTCGGTCCCCAGAGCCTTTGCGGCCTGCTCGCTCCGTCCCTCCCTTGGGTCTGGGTCCCAGGGTTTCGGGCGGAGGAGGGAAGGGGAAGGCTTCGGCTGCCCTCTGCCCAGAGGTGGGTCTGCGACAGCCGTCTTTGGGCCTGTTGTGGGTCTGGGTGGGCTGGGAGCCCGGCCCTCCATCCTGCTGCTGGGGTCTCTAGCCTTCCCTCTGGGTGGTCCCTTCGCCTTGTACCTCCCCAGGGGTGGCCATGCGTCCTGATCCTGAGCTGTGAGATGGGGACCCTGAAATGCTTGCTCCCCAGCACTGCCTTGGCACTGGCCTGGTGCTGTGCAAACGCCCCACGGGGAGAGCCCCCAGCACCCCATCCCGCCGCCCCCCATCTATGCCCACAGCCCTGGTGTGTCCTCGGTGCTCCAAGCCGTAGACACACACTTCCCTTCTCTTTTCTAATGTAATCTGAAGTAGAGCCCGCAGTGTGAGCTGGCCGGTGCCCACGGTGAGCCTGGCCCTCGGCCCCGGCACCCAGGCCGGCCCGTCGGGAGGCAGTGGCCACTCTCACTACATGATGCTGCATGCGTTTCTTTGGCTGCAGGAGCCCGTCGCCACACCCGGGTGCCTTCCCACAGCGCAGATGTTCTCTGAGAGTTCTGGGCTCAGAGGTCCCCAGCGGGCCCCCTGGGCTGGACCCAGGCCCGGGCAAGGCGAATGGGCTGTTCTGCTGCTGCCTGCCGGGCATCCAGTCTTGCGTGTCACTTCAGCGGTGGTACCCAACCACGCCTGACGGGCTTTCTGGGGACGGGCTCTTTGTACTCCGGGGTATCGGAACCTGCTGTGTTGGAAGGTGGTGTAGAATGCTTTTTTCGGACCTTGGGCTTTATTTGCTCACGTTTTATTTGGAATTTCTGCACCTCTGTCCGTAAGTTAGTCTCCTGTGAGTTTTTGGCCGACGTTGGTGGCCTTGGGGTCATTGGGGTTGCGCTGGTCTCGCAGAATATGCCCTAGAACCAGCTAAGTGGCACAGGAGTGACCTGTCCCCCGCCGCTCTCGGGACATTAAAGGACGCCCGCTTTGCCCTCCACGCACTTCGTGTTTTCCAACTGGTGACATTCTTTGACCGTACGACGCCTTTTCCCTTTGCACGCCCACGGACTCATACCACGGTTGGGGTTCTCTCGTTTTCTCTTCAAAGTGTTGTGTGGGTGTCCGTCGTCCACCCAGGGCCCCATTGATGCACTGGACACATCAGTGGTTTCTGTCCTGTCGCTGGCACGCGCATGGCTAGGTGGACTCCCCTGTGGGTGAGAAAGCGTGTGAGACGGAGCCCAAGGCGCCCTCGCCGCAGAGCCCTGCACGGGGCAGACCAGCCTGGGGGCTCTGCACGCCCCCAGCCCCACCCCGTCGAGCGTCTCTGTGCCCTGCTTGGGGGTCAGGCCCTCTGTGGGCATCCTCCCTGCTCCCTGGCTGGAGGAAGGAGCTCGGGGTGGCTTCCGTGTGGGCCAGGTCCAGTGGGGAGCCCACTGCCACCTCACCCCAGCTCCTGGGATCCCATGGTCCTGTCTGTAGGCTCTACCCGCGCCGGTTGTCGTGCACATTCCACGAGCTGCCCCAGCAAGTCCCCGGACCGAGTGGCCTTCTCTGGGGCCCGGTGTCAGCGCCCCTCACCCCGCCATCAGCCTCTGTGGGGTGAGGCCCGCATGGAGGGGTGCTCTGGGAACCTTGACTTGCTGCAGAGCCTTGGTGGGAGTCTGCTGGAGGCCTGGCCCCCAGTAGGTTCTGGAAGGCTGGTTGTCTGCTCTTCCTCGCCAGCCCCGGGGGTCGCACCCAGGCTGAGGCAGTGCGGTCGCCTTAGCAGGCCTGCTCACTGCCATCTCCCCTTCTGCCTGTTTCAGGGCTTGGCTATGACCCGTACAACCCCGAGCTGCCCAAGCCCCCAGTGCAGAGGGAGAATGGTGCCCTGGGCAGAGAGGACACGCCCCGCTCGGACATCCTGGAGCTGGAGCTGGTCAACCAAGCCATTGAGGCCGTGCGCTCCGAGGTGGAGCTGGAGCAGCGGCGGTACCAGGAGCTCCTGGAGACGGCCCGCGAGCACGGCTCTGCTGAGGCCCCTGCCCTGGCGCCCCGCGGCCCCGCTGCCTGCACTGCCGCCAGCCTGGACGAGGACGCCTTCTCGCTGTCCTTTGACTACAACCCCAGCGGCCGCAGCCTGCTAAGCCCCGATGCCACCTACCAGCCCACCCCTCTGGCTGCACCTGCCGAGCCGGGCAGCAAGTACTCGCTGGCCTCTCTGGACCGGGCTCAGGGCCACAGTGGAGGGGGCGGTGGCGCCTTGGAGTACGTCCCCAAGGCTGTGAGCCAGCCTCGGCGGTACAGCCGCCCCGTCCCCAGTGGCAAGTACGTGGTGGATGACTCCAAGCCGTCCACAGACCTGGAGTACGACCCGCTGTCCAACTTCTCCGCCCGCCTGCTCGGCAGGGCCGGCTCCAAGGACGACAGGGCCCCCAAGCGGCCCAGGGGTGCCCACGCCCGCGAGCCCTACACGCCCGCACCCAAGAAGCCCTGTGACCCCTTTGGCGGCTGTGACGCCAGGTTCTCGGACTCCGACGATGACGCCGCCGTTGTTCCGAGTGACAGGCCCGCCACCTGCAGCCCCCCAAGAGCCCGAGTGGGCACTGAGAGCAAGGTCCCCGGGAAGCCGGGCTCCAGGGACGGCCAGGAGCCTGAGGAGGGTGGCCCACGGGAGACCAAGGAGATGGCCGTGCAGTATGATGTGGGGGACCTTGGGCAGCCCCCCAAGGGCCCAGGCGAGCCGCCCCCAGCCAAGCCGCCCCCGGCCAAGCCCAGCTCCCCGGCCCAGGCCTCCCAGGACCACAGTAGCTCCAAGGAGGAAAAACCCAAGAAGAAGAAGCGGGGGGCGCCGCCGGCCCCCAGCCACAGGGACGGCGTGCAGAAGACAGACCGGGGGAAGGAGGGAGAGCGCGCAAAGCCGTCAGAGAAGGCTTGTGCGGACAGGAGGGGCCCGCAGGCCGGCAGCCCCCGGCACAGGGCACAGCGGCCCCAGGGGACCAAGAAGAAGCCATCTCCGGCCACCCCAGTGGCCAACTCAGGGAAAGACCGGCCGCGGCCCAGCCCCACCAGAGGGGGCGCCCCCCTGCCACCCGACAGGACGGGCCGGCTGAGCCCAGCGGGGAAGCTGGTGGAGCGGAAGGCCCGCTCGCTGGACGAGGGCACCTCCCGGGACGCCCCCAAGCTGCCGAGGCGGGCCCTGAGCCATGCTGACCTCTTCGGGGACGAGAGCGAGGACGAGGACCCGGGACCCGCAGGGCCTGGACTCCGGCCCCCCGCCCTCCCCAGCCTCAGCTCCACCTCGGACTCGGACTCGGACTCCAGCCTGGGCCTCTTGGCTGCTGGGGGGCCGCCCAAGCGCCTCAAGGCCTCCCCGCCCGCCTCGCCGGGCCCGTCCTCCTCGTCCTCCTCCTCAGGGGCGGGCTCAGACGTGGACTACGCAGCCCTGGAGAAGGAGGTCGACTTCGACTGCGACCCCATGGAGGAGTGCCTGCGCATCTTCCGCGAGTCCACCAGCGTCAAGACGGAGGACAAGGGCCGGCTGGCCCGGCAGGTGAGGGTCTGGGCCCCGCCCCCGAGGCTCCCCGGGCCTGGAGACGGCGCTGGCCGGCGATGGAGGTGCTCGCTCAGTGTCAGCCTCTTGACTCGTCCAAAATTCAGGGACCCTTGTTGGCCACCTGCTGCCTCCCTGCGCCCTGTCCAGAGAGGACCCTGACTTCTGGCCCCCGGCGGGGTTCCTGTGGCAGCGATCCGGGTGCCCTCCAGCACAGGGGTACTGGGACCCCGCCATCCCGCTCCCTCTCTCCTCTCCTCCCCCGTCTCCTCGCGTCCCTCCTCCATGCTCCCAAACCGTCGCCAGCCTGGACCTGTCTGGGTCTCCTCGTCTGTTGTCCCCACATGGGCCACCAGAGGGAGCTCGCCTTAAGCAAAGCTGGATATGCGAGGACAGCGCGGAAACCTGCACCTTCTCCTCGGGCACAGGCGGCTTGCAGGGGCAGGGTCACAGGGTCGCACCCTGGGCTCCTGGGTCCCCGAGCACCCGCCCATCGCAGCCCCTCCATTCCCACCTTTCTGAGCCCCTGGCCCCTTCGAGGTAGGGGAGCAGGAGGTGGGGGTCCCAGCATGGTGAACGCAGGGATGGGGCACGTCCGCAGAACCCACCCTCAGTGAGGCCTGGGAGGTGGGCTCAGGACTCTCAGCCTTGGGGGACCTCGGCTTGGGGGGCTGAGTCTGTTTCCTCAGCTGTGAGGGGCCAGGGGGACCCCGTGGCAGCCCCTCCCTCAAGCGAGCCTTACTGCCTTCGCTCATGCCCTCTCGGACCTGGGAGTCCCAGCCTCCCTGTGCCCAGACCAGGGGGTGGCGAGGCTGAGGGAAGCCTTGCTCAGGGATGGGCATGTGTTTCAGCCCCCCAAAGAAGAGAAGATCGAGGACAAGGGCCCGGGTCTGACCACTCTGTTCCCTGGGCAGAAGCGGAGAATTTCTCATCTTTCCAAGCAAGGCAAGGAGGTAAGGGTGCACTCGGGGTCCTGGGCAGAGGCTGGCAAGAGGCAGAGGGACCCCCGTCTGCAGAGATGCGGCCCCTGTGTCCCTTCGCTGACGAATTCCTTTGGTAGGTATGTTCCCGGCACTCTGGGTCCTGGCGGAGAAGTGGCCGCGGCCCACGTGGAGTCCTCACGTTGTGCTCAGTGCCGGGGAGGGAGAGGAGGGATGGCCCGGGGACAGAGCCCTCCAGCAGGGTCACACGGCCCCATGCCAGTCCCAGCTCCACGTGCACTGTGTGATCTTGGGCAAATGGCCCGACTTCTGTGAGCCCAGGTTTCCTCCCCTGTGGCCTGGAGACAGGAACAGTTGTGGGTCACTGTGGGGGCAGTCAGAGAGCTAGCACAGGGAGGCTGGGCTCCAGTTGATCCAATCACCAGACCCCTCCCAGAGGAGGGTTCTGGAAGCTGGAATCCAGAGAAGATTGGATCAAGTGGGATGGGTTGGTGGGCCAATCTAATCAGACCCAGGGATTCCCTCCCACCCTGTGTCTATATCAGGGCTGAGAGCACGGCCTGGGTGCTCAGAAGCCAGGCCTGGGAGAGCAGGGCCCCGCAGGCTCCCTGGGACAGTGAGGCAGCATGAGTTTGAGGGCGTACACGCTGAGCTGGTTCCCAGTGCCGAGCCCATTCCCGCTGGGGCACCCGCAAGCTCAGAAGAAGGCGTGGGGGGCAGCCTGCACAGCCCCACCCCCAACCCTGGAGGCCCTGCTGCCCCGCCCGCCGCCCCACCAGCAGCCTGTAGCCCTTGGTAGCCTGCTCTGGGTGCCCCCGACATACAGCCAAGTCCTGAAATTCGTCATTGTCCAGGCAGAGCCTGTGAGGAGAGGCCCGGCGCCGCCCGCCCGGCCCCTGACCGCCCAGGAGGTGTGTTACCGGCGGGCCCAGCAGGCGCAGAGGGCATCAGCCAGCTGGCTCCAGGCTGCCCAGCGGCCAACCGAGAAGCTGTCCTCCGCCCACATCTCGGCCCCAGGGGAGAGGAAGAGGATCGCCCACATCCCCAACCCCCGCCTGGCTGCAGGTGAGTCCCGGTGCATGGGGCCAGGCCCCCTTACTCTGCCAGTCATGGCTTGGAGGGGGCCCGGCTGGGTCTCGGGGTGCTTGTCTGTAAGCTGGGGCTGAGTCTCCCCAACTGTCAGCAGGGGGCTGGCGTGGGCCTGGTGTGGTGCCCAGCGGCCCTCCGCCTCTGCTGCCTTTGGCGTCTTCTTCCCTTCCCCCTGGGTGTCCCAGACCCGGAGCCTCCTCTGTGCTGGCCGCCTGCCTGCCTCGGAGGCCCTGGCCAGAGGTCTCGCTGGGCTCTCCTGCCCCATCCCTGCCGGCCTGGGCTTGGTGTGCCTGCCTCCCCCAGGCTGCTGGGTGCTGGAGGCCGGCGGCCTGTCGGGGGCTGCTCCGTGTGTGGGCACTGGGCTGGAGGCATTGGGGATGGGGTCAGGGACAGGAGCTGGCCTTGGAACGGGCTGGGGCGCCAGGGCCCACCCAGGCGTGCGAGGTGTTCAGGGGGCAGCTGATCTGGGGAGGGGCCTGGGCTGTTCTGTCTCCTCGTCCGCCCCCGGGGGTGCTTGGCCCCACTTGTTCTTGTCTGGAAGTCCCGTGGGCAGGGCACTCAGTGGCTGAGTCTCTGCACTGGTGTGTCTGGGGCTGTGGAGGTGTGACAGGCCAGGGCCACCAGCATCTCTGCGAGCACGTGTCCCTTGCACATCCGCTTCCCTGGGCTGGGGAGACCCTGCCGTCCGGCCAGCTCCCAGGGGCCGGGGTGTCCTTGCTGCCGTCCTTGAGCAGTCAGCTGTCTGGGCCCCAGGGCCTGGAGGTGGGGGTGCCTCACACAGTGGTCTTGCAAGCACAGGCATCCTCAGCCCTCCCCTGGTTTCCCTGGTACCGAGAAGCTTCTTTGGGCCAAGCTCTCCAGTTCTGGGCCCTCTGTCCCCGGGCACCTGGTGAGCACCTGCCAGGAGAGGCCGTGCGGTGTGTTTCAGCAGCGGTTCCGCCTCAGGGGGTCGCGCTCGCACCTGCTGCGCTCGGGGCGTCCTGGTCATCCGCCATGGCCTGGGACTGTGCCGGCCACAGCCCTCGCTGCACAAGCTCGGCCGAGCGGCCTGCGGGAGTCTGGCATTCTGAGATCGGCGGCTGGCACTCCTGAGCCACAGGGTTGCCCCTCGATCCTGGCGCTGGTTTCCCTTTCAAGTCTGCGTCAGCCTAAACCTGTTCCTCTGCCCCTGGAAAGGGCACGTTCCGCCCAGCCAGCGCCTCCCGTTCCTCTTGCGAGGCCAGGGGGCCCACCCTGGTGGAGGACAGGCTGCAGCCGGCCTGCAGGCACCATGGTCCCCACCCTCCCAGGCGCCAGGAACCTGGACCCTCCACTCTTGCCTCGCTCGGTCTCCTCATCTGCTCCTGTTCCTTCGTCAGGGCCAGGCCCAGGGTCAGAGCTGGACAGAAGACCCCCTGCCCACACACATGGGGCACCTTCCCTGGCCTGCTGCCCCGCCTGGAGCCCTGGGAGGCAGCTGGCAGGTGGGCGCCCTCCTCCCGGTGGGACGGGCTGGTTTGTGATGTCATCAAAGGGGGAGGCAGAACACAGAGGCAGCAGTGGGCAGGCGGCTGGTCACAATGCCCGGGCCGGGGCCTCCCCTGCCCTCCTGTCCTCAGCCCAGGAGCCAGGCCTTTCCTCGCTCAGACGTCAGTGCCTCGGAGTCGGGGGCTGGAACATGCGGCAGAGGCTCCCCACGCCCCCTGCCACTCACCGGACCCCCCCGCGGCGGCGTTGCCTGAGCCGGTCTTCCGAGCCCCGTTTTGTGTTCCCGCCCCTCGATGGACTTGCCCGAGAGCAGATAGAGCCTAATGTCATTCCACAGCCCGAGTCCCCGACCCCGGCCCTTCCCCCTGTGCTCCAAGATGCACGTCCTGCTGACGCTGAATGATCGTGGCTGCTTGGTCCTCTGCAGCTCGGTGATGGGCGTGCTCTCCTCCTGCACTCATGTCCCCTGTGCCCCACCAGCCCCCACAGGTGCCAAGAGGACCCTCGAGGCCAGCAGCAGCCAGCCCCCCAATGGCCCCGAGCCGGGCAGCCAGCCCCTGAAGACGCGCACGTTGTCGGGCATGGCGTCCAAGACCACCACCACCGTCACCCCCAAGCGCGTGGCGCACAGCCCCTCCTTACAGGTAACCGCCTGCCCACCCCGAGGGAGCCAGGTACCCCCAGCTTGCCGACATGCCTGGCGGCACAGGCTTGCTTTTCCCTCTTCCCACTTCCTCTACTGTTTTTCCTTTAGTTAATACACTCTCAGAGCAGCTTTAGTTTATAGAAACACTGAGCAGAGAGCAGAGTTCCATGTGCACCCCGTGCTCTCAGTTTCCCTTCTTTGTCAACACTGATGTGGTCGCCTCTTTGCACCAACAAGCCAGTGGCGACCCCTCGTAGTGACTAAATTTAGCCCAGAGTTTGCAGCAGGGTCCACCCTGTGCGTGGTGCCTTCCGTGGGCTCTGAGGAGTAATCAGAGCACCCGGCGGGGCGGCCACCCTCTGCGGTTCTGTGTCCCCTCTAGAGCTTGAAGAAGCCCATTATCCCCAAAGAGTTCGGGGGCAAAGTCCCCACCGTCATCCGCCAGCGGTACCTCAACCTGTTCATTGAGGAGTGTCTCAAGTTCTGCTCTTCAAACCAGGAAGCCATAGAGAAGGTGCGCGAGCCCAGGAGCTGGCAGCCGGCTGGCAGGGCGGGGGCCGGGCTGGCGCTCGGGCGGTCTCCCAGGGTGTCTCCCTGGTCCGTTGCCCCCCAGGCTGCTGTGTGGGCCCCGAGCCAGGGCTGCAGGGCTGAGTGGCGTGTCTGTCCCCAGGCGCTGAACGAGGAGAAGGCGGCCTATGACCGTAGCCCCAGCAAGAACATCTACCTGAGTGTGGCCGTGAACACCCTCAAGAAGCTGCGGGGCCTGGTTCCCAGCGCCGTGCCTGGGCTCAACAGTGAGTCGGGCGGGGCCGGGCTTGCCTGGGGAGGGTTCGGGCGGGCCTGCAGCCAGGACCGGCCCCGGGCTGCGCGAGCCGGGCGGCCGCAACCCTCACGGTGGCCTTTTTGCAGCTCTGAGCGCGTGAGTCTCAGACAAAAGGCGGGGCACGTGTGGCCCGGCTGTCAGCTGCGCGCTCACAACAGCCTCGCCTCGCTGTTAGCTGCCTCCTCAGCCAGCGGGGGTCTCGAGAGCCGGGCACCTGCTAATGAGGCGGCCTCTTCAAAGCGCGAGGCTGGCTGGGGCCTGCTCTGTGCATTAAGCCCAGCGAGCGAGCGGGCCCAGGACGCCTCGCCAAGGCTCTCGAAGGGCGCATTAGGCGGCGCTGGCCGGCTCTCCCCATTCTCCTGCTCTCGCCTCGGCCCCCCCGGCTCCTCTGCCCGCCCTCGCAGAGCCCGAGGAGGCCATTAGTTAAATTCTTCCCTTTTGTCTCCGAGGGGGCAAACGCCGGCCGGGCCAAGATCTGGGGCTTCCAGGCAGCTGAAAGCCTCCTGGTCCCAAGAGTTAAGGTGGGGGCGAGGGGGCTGCCCAAGGTCGTATGAGGTCAGGCCTTTAGTCTACCCTCCCTGCCCTGCCCCCTTCCAGAAACCAGCAGCCGGAGGGTTGTGTCTCACGAGGTGGTGCTGGGGGGCAAGTTGGCCGCCAAGACCAGCTTCTCGCTTAGCCGCCTGAGCAGCCCCCGGGTGGAGGATCTGAAAGGTGAGCCTGGCTCCTCGGGGGTCCAGCCCACCCCTGCTCCTTCCCCCGCTGCTCCCCAGAGAGGAGGAGAGGCCCCCCCCAGCAGCATCGGCCGTGGCTGCCCCCTGCCTGAGGCCCGTCCCCAGCTGCTGTGGGCTGACCGCCTCTCCCGGCTGTCCCCAGGGGCCGCCCTGTATGGCCGCCTCAAGGAGTACCTGCTCACCGAAGACCAGCTCAAGGAGAACGGCTTCCCCTTCCCGCACCCCGAGCGCCCAGGGGGCGCCGTCATCTTCACGGCCGAGGAGAAGAAGCCCAAGGACTGTGAGTTGCTTCCCCCGGGGAAGGCCATCTGGATAGAGGGAACAGCATGGGCGAGCGGGTGCAGACGCAGAGAGGCGTGGGGCCCGGGACCGGCCTGACCCCCCCCTTCCTCCCCGCCGCCTGTCCGTCCACACAGCCTCCTGTAGAATCTGCTGCCGCTGTGGCGCCGAGTACCTCGTGGCTGCCTCGGGCCGCTGCGTGCGCGACGAGGAGTGCTACTACCACTGGGGGCGGCTCCGCCGGAACCGAGGTGAGGCCTGGCCGCTGCTGCCTTCTGCGTCCTGGGCCCCGGGCTGGGCCGGGCCGGGCCGCCCCCTCCACCCGACCCCCTGAAGTTTCTCCTCGTCTGTCAGTCTTCATGACAATAGTAGAAGGCCTTCCTGTCACGCTGCGCAAGGCAGATGAGAGGGAGCCCGCCCTTCCTCTGTCGGGGGTGTCCCGGCTGCGGCTGCTGCCTCACGTGGTCACTGTGGTCCCGCTCGGGGAGGGCGCGGGCCGCCTGCAGACCTGTCTCTGGGCAGGGGTGCCCAGGGCCTGGCACAGCAGTGTTCTTTTCGGCGGGCCTCCCTGGGGTCCATGCCTGCATGTGTCCTCACGGCCAGGCCAGGTCAGGGTCTGCTGGCCGTCCCGGATCCTCACCCGCTCTTGGGGCCTGAGGCCCCTCCAGGAAACGGGGCTGGCCGCCCCTGCCGCCCAGGCACACCGGGTGTCAGTGACTTTCTCTGGGCGGCACAGGATCCGTGTGGCGGGGCTCCCCTGACGGCTGTCTCTTTCCAGTGGCGGGCGGCTGGGAGACTCAGTACGCGTGCTGTTCAGCTGCTGTTGGCGCCACCGGCTGCCAGGTCGCCAAGGTAGGTCTCTGGCCTGCGAGGTGCCTCCTCGTCCCGGCGAGAGCTGAGGTGGGCCCGGGCCACCCTGAACTGCCTTTTTCCCATCCTTCAATTCGTCTGCCCTGCCCAGTGGCCTCGGAAGGGCAGGACTGTCCCCAGAAGCCTCTCAGTACCGCCCGGCCCCCAGCCACCTCACCGGCTCTCCCCAGGGTCCTCCCCGCACGGCCCGGCCCCCACCCTCACCTTCCCTTCCCTCCCCACCAGCAACACGTGCAGGACGGCCGGAAGGAAAACCTCGAAGGCTTTGTGAAGACTTTCGACAAAGAGCTTCCAGAAGATGCGCACCCGGGAATCTACGCCCTCGACTGTGAGATGGTGAGTTGGCTTGGCTGCACTCCAGTGCCCGCGGAGACCCCCTCGGGGCCCTTGCTGCTCACAGGGGCTGTCCCAGCTCCTGCCCTGAAGCTTGGAGCCAGTGGGGGTTTTAGGACAAAGAGCGGGTTAAGAGCTGGGAGCAGCCGCCTGCGCCCAGCCTTTCTCCGGGGAGTTGCATCTGCAGCCCCGAGGCGCTTCCCAGCCCCGCCGGCAGCTGCTCAGGAAGGGCTCTTCTCCCTCGACACACACCACGCCACGCACGCCGAACCACACGGCCCGACACGTACCACACATGCTCAACCACACGGCCCTGTACACCACGTGCACTGTGCACCGCAGCCGACACACACCACGCACGCCGAACCACATGGCCCGACACACCATGCAGTCTGTGTGCCATGGCCAACACACTACGCACGCCGTGCACCACAGCTGACACACCATGCACGCCAAACCACACGGCCCAACACACACCATGCATGCTGAACCACATGGCCCACTTTACTCAGGACTCGGGTGGGAGCCAGGGCCCTCTTGGCACTCGGGCTGTGTGGGCATAGGCGCAATGCTGGCTTTAGGAGAGGGTGCCCTGGTTCACGCCGCTGCGACCCCCAGAGGGCAGGCCAGCACCTCTGCCCCCAGGGCTCAGGGACAGGGCGGCCTTGTCCTGAGCTCTGGGCTGTGGCGTCAGGTCTGTGCTGTGCACAGAGGGAGGGAGCAAGGGAGGGAGGGAGGAGGCGGGCTGTGGCGGCGTGTCTGAGGTGCGTCTTCCCGCCCCGCAGTCCTACACCACGTACGGTCTGGAGCTGACGCGCGTCACCGTGGTGGACACGGACATGCAGGTCGTCTACGACACCTTTGTCAAGCCAGACAACGAGATCGTCGACTACAACACCAGGTGCGGCCCGACCCTCGAGGACCTGGGCCCCCAGAGTCGCTCTGCTCCGCACACGGGCCCAGCCGTGCTAACACCCTGCTCCTCCCACCAGGTTTTCGGGCGTGACTGAAGCCGACCTCACCGACACGAGCATCTCACTGCGGGACGTCCAGGCCGTCCTGCTGAGCATGTTCAGCGCCGACACCATCCTCATTGGACACAGCCTGGAGAGCGACCTGCTGGCCCTGAAGGTACCCCGGCCCCCCGCAGGCTCGGCTCCCTGGGGTCCACAGAGGGCGGCTGGGCTGTCGTGGGCCTGGTGCCCTGGGCCAGGGTGGGAGGCGTGGGCTCAGTGCCCGGGCCCCTTCACGCGCCAGCCCCCGGGCCCTGAGCTCCTGGTGCTGTCCGCCCGTAGGTCATCCACAGCACCGTGGTGGACACGTCCGTGCTCTTCCCGCACCGCCTGGGCCTCCCCTACAAGCGCTCCCTGCGGAACCTCATGGCCGACTACCTCAGACAGATCATCCAGGACAACGGTGAGGGCCCGGGCCGGGCCGGGGTGGGGGCTGGGGCTGCGGGGCGCGGGCAGGCCGTGAGTTCGCCCCCGTGACGCCTCTCCCGCTCTGCAGTGGACGGGCACAGCTCCAGCGAGGACGCCAGCGCCTGCATGCACCTGGTGATCTGGAAGATCCGAGAAGACGCCAAGACCAAGCGGTGACCGCCGCCCCGCCCGCCCGCGCCTCTCCCACAGCCCCGCCAGTCCTTAGCCCCAGGCCTCTTCCAGAACAGTGCAATAAATCTCGAGAGCTAACCCTGTCCCGGCGCCCGGCCGGAACACCCACCGAGAGGACCCCCTTGCCCCGCCCCACACCCAAACTGTCCCCCGACCGCTGCCGACTCACGGGCTGAGGCGGCCGCTCGTGTCCCCGCGGGCCACGAGCCACCTGCTCCTGCCCCCTCTCACCAGTGGGAGCGGGCAGGTGGGTGGGCTTGTGGCCATTTGTTTGAGACAGGGGTATCTTTTGTTATTTTGTATTATTATTTTTATTATGTTTAATTTAAACCTGACCACTCGCACAGTTGTCTTCCCGACCCAGAGGAGCAGGACCCTGGTGCTGCCTGCCCTCCTGGGGTCCAGGAGCCGTCAGCCGGCGCCTCGGCAGCCACCGGGACCCAGGAGTCCAGCCGGCCTAGGCCTGGACGGGCGGGAGGGCTGCCCCCAGCCCGCCTGGGCTCCGTGACCTCGGAACCGAGCCAGCCCCCCTGCCAGCCCCCAGGCCTGCAGGTCCTCCCGCCGTGGGGGCTGTCTCTGAGGGCCGCAGCCCTGAGCGCCTGAGCCTCCCCAGCCCCGGGCAGGGATGGAATAAACGTTTGTATGGATTTTAGACCTCCCGGCGTCTGCGGCTGTTCTTGGTGCCAGGCTAGGACACACTCCCCGTGACCGGGGCAGCCGTGGAGCTTGGTTCGCCTTCTTGGAAACCAGCCCCAGTGCCCAGGCTGCCCCGGGGCCCTGCCATCCTGCCCTGGGGCCACTGTTCCTGAGCAAACCCAGGGTCCCAGTGGCCTCACTTGGCGGCCTGTCACCCTTCTGGCTCCTTTGGGGTGCTGTGGGCAGCGCTGGCTTTGCTCGCTGCTGCACCCGCCCCGAGGAGCGTCCGGGGTGAGGGGCCCCAGCTGGCCACTGCACGCTGCCATCTGAGCAGCTGCCTCGAGGTGGTGGGGGGCAGCTGCCAGCCCCTTGCGCGTGCCCCGTGTTGTGCTGACTTGTGGGTGGGCAGACCAGGGCTGTTCAGGTCCCGCTTTTAATTTATTTAAAGTAAAAAGTGAAAGGCCCGTAGAGAGGGACATGCTGGGGCGCCCAGGTCCAGATGCCCCAGCACAAAGGCTGGAAGGAGGGCTGCCCAGAGGAGGCCTCCACAACCCTGTCACTCGGGCTTCTGCTGAAGGCCAAGAGGATAGGGTCCCTGGCTGAGGACATGGCAGCTCTCCTCTATGGGCTTCCTGGGCCAGGGCTGCAGAGGAGAGTCGAGTCCCCTCTCTGGTCCTGGGGGGCCCCTGCCGTCGTTTCCCTCTGGGGTTGTTCCTGTGACCCGTTGGCTTCCTCCCCCCCATTCTGTAAACAAGGAATTGTTTTCTAAATAAACGGTGCAGGCGGCTTCACAGAAGCCCTGTTTCTGAGTGGTGTCTGCCCCCTCCCCAGAGCACGAGAGGGCCGGGGAGGCCTGGGCAGTGGAGGTGGGGCTCCCCAGCTCCGGAGGAGTGCCCGCCTTCAGCTCGCCAACCCTGCAGGCTCCAGGCTGCGGGGCCTTGGCAAACCCATTTTTCCCTGCTGTCACCATCCCAGGGACGGAATCAGGTCCCCTGCCTCCCTCCTCATGGCGGCACCCAGCAAGGTCTCTCCTAAAGGCTGTGAGAATAGTTTGTTTCAGTCCCGCTCGCCAGGGTGTTTCTCATTAACCACTGGGTAGGGCTGGCTAAGAGGTTTGTTGAGTGAATGAATGAAAGGAGAGGTTTACCTGGCGACCCCCCAGAGGCCAAGCAGAGTGTGCAGACCGGCTTCCAAAGAAATGTGAGTGGGAGGTTGGTGCTCTGACAGGGGGGTCAGATCGGGTGTCTGTCCTCACCACACCCAATCATTCATTCATTCATTCATTCAGCCAACATTTGCTCAGAGGTGATGCTGGTGTCAGAGGGGGCTCCAGCCCCATGCAGGGAGGGGAGGCTGGGGCACAGAGTCAGACGCAGGCGCTCCGGTCTGTTGGGTCAGGGCTGGGGACAAAGGTGGTGGGGGGGAGAAAGCACCCAGGGCCCACTGGACCCAGACCCTGCTTTACAAGGTCTCGCCCCTAAATGACGGGCCCCTTAATGCCCTGCCCCGCATTAAGATCCCTTCATCCCGCCCTACTGCTGCCCTCTGATTCATCCCAGCCCCCGCGGACCCTATCCTACGCGCTGCAGCTGCAAGACTAACCCTGGATCTTGGCCCCAGGCTAGGCTTCTGCCCCGGCCCCGCCCCTACCCTGGCCCTCTCCGTAAGGCCCCGCCCCCGGCCGCATCCCGCCCCAAGTCATGGCCCCGCCCACTGCTGTGACCCTGCCCCCTCAGACCACGCCTTCCGCGCTGGCCCCGCCCCTATCCTGGCCCTCTTGGTAAGACCCTGCTCACAGTCCCGCCCCCGGCCCCGCCTCCCGTCCTGACCCCGCCTTCGGCCCCGCCTTCTGCCCTGGCCCCGCCTCCCGTTCTGACCCCGCCCACCGGGCCCACTTTCTGTCCTGGCCCCGCCCCGCGCCCGCGCCGCCCGTTTCAGGCCGGTTTCAGGCCCGTTGGCCCCGGGCTAACAGTTCCACCACGTCCGCCGCCCTGGACCCCCGCGGACCGCCCGCGGCAGCCCGGCCCCGCCCTCCCCGGCCGGCGCAGGTGAGCGGCGGCGCTCCAAGGCTGTGCGTCCCCGGGCGCCCGCGCACCCTCTCTGGACCCCGCCCCACCCGAGGGCGGGAGGGCACCGGGGCGACGGAAGGGGCGCCCCCATAGAGAATCGCGCAGGGCGGGGTCCCCAGGGGCGTCCTGTGGACGCAGATCTCCCGGTCGGGGCCGGGCGTCGAACCCTGAGCCGCGGCGGCCGCGGGAATACTGGGGCTCCCCGCGGGTTAATGGGGCGTTCTGGTGAGCCGAGAGGGAGTGAGTGAGCAGGAGCAGCCCTAAGGGGCGGGCTCCTGTCCCAGACAAACAGTGGGGTGGATTCTGGCCATCTCGGTGTCGCCTCCAGCCCCGTCTGTGCCCGCTGGGTCTCTCCGGCTCTGGGTCCCACTGGCTGGGCCTCACTTTCCCCCATCTGGAGAGTGGGCACCGGCCCCACTCAGGCCCGGGGAGCATCAGAGCTGGCCCTGAGCCGGGCCCTCCCTCCGGGGGACACCGATGACTCACAGGCCGGCCATCCCCGTCCCGGGAGGTTCCTAGTTCAGTGGGGCTGCCCAGACGGGGAGAACGGGCCATCACAACGGGGATGGGGGACACCCCGGGCAGAGAGGAAGCCCAGAGGACGTGCCCCCACAAGCCTGGACGGTCCGAGAAGTATGAGCTGAGACCAGAAGGGTGAGGAGGCCTTGACGAGGCCTGTAGGAAGGGGGCCAACGGGGTTGGGGGGGCGCCCAGGGCTTGGAGGGGAGGGAGCTGCTGAGTGCTGGGCGGCCAGGCTCATTTGGGGAGCCGCTGAGGGCCCCCCATCAAATTCCTGACCCCGAAGGACCAAGAGTGACCGTGAACTAGCTGGGGGAAGGTTCCGGGCTCTGTGGAAGGCGTGTCCGCCCCCATCTCTCCCACCACGCTCAGTTCAGCTCTCCAAGAGTGGCTTGGCCTTCCAGACAGAAGGCATAACCCTGGGGCCCCGTTTAGTCAGTCAACAAACATTGATCAGGCGTGTAACCCAGCTGGGCATTGCATGCCACGTGGGGTTTGGGACAGAAGGGGGCAGCAGGGGGACCCCGGGAGGCGATGGGGGCCTGGGCTGAGGGTGGCCATGGGGGTAGGGAGCAGTGCCCAGATGTACAATCCTTCATCCTAAGGTTACCAGCCAGAGTCGGGGGGGAGGCGAGCAGCGTCAGGTCACTAGCTGGGGGAACTGAGGGACGTGGGGGCTGTTGCGGCTTTGGGGATCAGCCCGGGCCCCCCTGGGCCTCAGGACATTCAAGGAAGGACACACTGCCGGCGGCTGAACCTTCAGAGCCCGGGGAGGGGGCAGCAGGTGGACATGAGAGGGGATGTTTCAGAGAGGGTCTCCTCTGGGCGTGAGCTCCCGGATGGCAAAGCAAGGGACAACGTCCAGCGAGGGCCGGGCCACCGGTGTGACCTCGCGTCCCTCTCCTGACAGCCCCACCGTCATGGGCAGCCTCGCCTACCGAGAAGGCCTTGAAGACGAAGAGAAGAACTCGGGTGCGTGTCCTGGGGCCGAGGACGGGGCGCGGGGCCGGGCGGAGGAAACCGAGGGGCATGACAAAGTGTAGTGGCCGAAGCGGGGGCACTGGGGAACTCCCCCAAACCCATCTGACCGGTCCAGTGCGGGGGGTCCTCATTGGGTTACAAATAGTCCCAAACCCTCTGCCTGAAATGTCGACTCGAGACTCAGGGGCTGCGAGCCCAGAACTATCTGGGCTGCCCAGGCCGGGCGTGTGGCCTCAGTTTACCCCTTCTGTAGAAGGAATGGGAGTGAATGGCCTGTTCTCCGAGCCCAGGGATGGGCCCTGGGGGCGGGGCGAGGGGCCACCCCTCACACCCCTGGGCTCCCGGAGCGCCCACTGTGTGCAGGGCCGCTGGGCCCTCCCTTTTGTTTACCGGCTCTGGCAGCCCACGGGGCAGCGTCCCCAGCCCCCGGGTCCCCGGGGGCCCATTAGCCCTCCTCTGGAGTGTCGTTAGCGGTGTTTGTCCGCGGGCCCGCGCGACGCTGGCTCTCTCGGCTTCAGGGTTCACGTGGGAGGTGAAAGCCAACAGCCGGGCCTACAACAGCCGCTTCAAGGAGAAGGCCTTCCTGTGCTGGCAGAGGCCGAAGTACAAGGTGGGCCGGCCATGCCGGGTCCCTGTCACGGAGCCCGGAGTGCCCCGTTCCCGCCGAGTCACCCGTTGGGTCGGTCCTGGCGTCTCCGGGGGCCCCCTCATCCCGCCGCAGTTCCCATCAAAATAAGTTAATACGAGACCTTGAAGCTACAGCTTGTCCGTCTCGGCTCTGCCTAAAATCCCCTGGGGGGGGGGGGTCTCCTCTGGGGAAATGCCGGGGTCCCAGCTCGGGCTCAGGGAGTCTCTGCACCCAGTCAAGGACTCAAGTAATGCTAATTCAAGGCCTTGCATTCAGCAGGCGCTTAAGTAAATGCTGGCCTGAGGCCTTGCATTCAGTCGGTGCCCAATTAATGCTGGTTGGTGGTGGCCGGAGGGCAGGGCAGGCGCCCACATGCCACCTCTCCCTCCAGACCAACATCATCCACACGGCCAAGTACAACTTCTTCTCCTTCCTGCCCTTGAACCTGTGTGAGCAGTTCCGCCGCATGTCGAACCTCTACTTCCTTCTCATCATCATCCTCCAGGTGGGGCGGGGCGGGGCAGCCCCCCTGGGGGTCCGCGCTCGGGTCACCTCCTCCGGGAAGCCCTCCCTCAGCCCCCTGGCCAGCTGGCTCTGTGGACCCCGGGGCGGTTTCTCCGTGTGGTCGTCTGTGTGGTTATGGGGCCGGCGTCCGGCTCCCCACGCCCCGGAAGCACCTTCATGGCTGGGTCCCCACTGCCCAGCCAGGGGCTTGGCACACAGGAGGCGCTCAATAGATGCTGAGCAGTGAGGGAGCACGGGCGGCTCCTCCAGGTCCGAGGAGGGTGGAGTCCTCCTGCAGGACGGACGGCCCCCTTGACCCCAGCTGGCCGAGCTGACCCCAGAGGGCAAGGAGGAAAGAGCAGCGAGGGCGGGTTCTCGGGACCTGCCGGGCAGTCCCGGCTGGGGCACCTCCCTCCCCCAGCGAGTGGGCAGTTTCCAGGACACCCGACCACCCCCGCCCTGCTTCTCCGTTCTGTTCGGAGTAAAGTGAGAGGCTCTGCTTTTATCCATCGGTCCAGTGGACGCTTATTGAACACCTACTGTATGCAGGTCCTATCTGGGCACTGGGGACCTGGCGGTGGCCCTGACACCCGTCTTCGGGTGGCTCATGGGCTGGTGGGGTGACTGCCATTAAACCACGTGGTGGGGACCAGCGATGGGGGACCAGGCTGGTCTGGAGGGGGCCGCTGGAGGAGGTGACGATGGAACTCGGACCTGAAGGGTGATGGGCAGGAACACAGCTACAGGGAGGGAGAACAGAGAGAGCCAAGGCCCCGGGGCATAGGAGGACTTCCTGGAGGAGGTGACCTGGGAGCCGGGCGTGGGAGGGAGACGAGGCACGAGGGAGAAGTTCTGGGCAGGGAGAGGGGCTAGAGGGCAATTGTCCCGTGGTTTGTGGGGAGAGACGGCCGGGCCCTGGTGGCCAGCAGGAGCGACACGATGCCAGGTTGAGGGGCCGGGCGTGCCGGTGGGGAGGGCAGGAGGCCGCGGTCGGGGGGCGCCCAGGCGGGTAGACAGGGGCCAGCGTGACCTCCTCTGTGTCAGAGCATCCCCGAGATCTCCACCCTGCCCTGGTTCACGCTCTTCGCCCCGCTCGTCTGCCTCCTCGTCATCCGGGCCACGCGAGACCTGATGGACGACATCGTGAGTGGGGTTGGGGAGCGGCCGGGACAGGGATGGGGGTCAGAACGGGGTCCCCGGAGCCCCGGGCGGGTGCGGGGAGGGTTGGCGTGGGCGGCCCCGGTGGACCGTGTCATCCACACGGTCTCGCGGCCACAAGGGACAGGTGCCCGCTGGCCCTTCGGCCGGGCTGTCTTGGCGGCCACACGGGTGTGGCTGCACTCTGCCCTCTGCTCCTGCCGACAGCGGTTGGCCCAGCCGCCCTCCCGCCCGGGTCCCCGGACAGACGCAGCGTGCTGTGGCCTCGCTGGCAGGGCCGCCGGTGTGAGCAGGGACGGCTGTCTGCCCATCGCTGGGCGGCGTGGGGCACGGTGCCGTCTCTCTGACTCCCCCTGTCGGTGCAGGGGCGACACAGGAGCGATAGGGTCATCAACAACCGGCCCTGCCAGGTCCTGGTGGGCAAGAGGTGAGGCCACGGCGGGCGGCCGGCGGCGCAGGGGTCCATCCCGGTGCGGGGACCTCCAGCACGGCCGGCCAGACACGGCAGGGAGGGGTGCCCGGCGGAGGGTCCAGCACCTTCCATGCTCCCAGACATCCCGGCTGGGTGTGATGGGGGCCCAGGCCAGCGTTTATGGGGCGCCTGCCATCTACCAGGCCTGGGGTGGGCCCTGTGATGGGGGCAGAGGCTGAGGACCCCGTTGTCAGCACTGGCAGGGCTGAGCTCAGCTGAAGGGGCGGGCGGGGATGGCCGAGCCCCCCTGCCAAGACCTGCGGGTGGGGACGTCCCAGAAACAAAGGCCCTGCTCTTCCAGCTGCGGGGGCGGGGCGGGGGCGAGGGGGCCGGGGGTCCCCAGGCTGGGCCTGGGAGGGGCCCCCTCTCACACCTGCGGCCCCCCTCCCCGCAGCTTCCGGTGGAAGAGATGGAAGAACCTGTGTGTGGGCGACGTGGTCTGTCTACGCAGAGACAACATTGTCCCGGTGAGCACCAGGGACACCACTCCAGGGCGGGGGGGGCTCCTTCCGCCGCCGGCGTCGTGTCCCCCGCAACGCCGTGTGCTCACCCCACCCCCCTTCCCGCCCCAGGCCGACCTGCTCTTGCTGGCCAGCACCGAGCCCAGCAGCCTGTGCTACGTGGAGACGGCTGACATCGACGGGTGAGGCTCGGGGCATCGCTACGGGTTTGGGGGTCTGGGCGCCAGGCCTTCCGTGATGGGCTAGCCCGCTCGGGTATAATGGTCACTCACCCCAGGAGCATTTATGGGGCGCCTGCAGGCCAGCAGGGCAGCGAGGTGAAACCAGACAAAGGGACCCACCTTCTTCACACCAACATTTCTGGGAGCCCTACTGTGCGCCAGGTGCCACCACCCCAAAGGCAGGAAGGCCGACACTCTGGCCTCAGCCCTTTTGCAGACACCCTGTGTGACCTTGAGCAAGGCCCTCTCCCTCTCTGGGCCTCAGCCTCCTGATGAGCAGCTGACGCACAGTAGGTGCTTGGCGAAAACGTCTGAGTGACTCTGGAAGGGGGCTAGGGGGGCGCCTTGCCTGGGCGCCATCTGGTCCCCACCTTCCCCTCGCTCCCCTTCTCATCACCAGGGAGACCAACTTGAAGTTCAGGCAGGCGCCAATGGTCACCCACCATGAGCTGAACAATGTGAAGAAGATGGCGTCCTTCCAAGGTGAGAGGTGGTGAGTGGGGGACCACAGTGCCGTCCACCCCTCTGGCCTCCGTCCGCCCCTCCGTGCAGTGGGCGTGAAAGCCCCCCGCCTCACTGGGTTTGGGGTCCGTAATGAGGTGTCGGGGTCAGGGGGTGTGTCCCAGGCAGCATCTACCCAGACAGGTACGGTCAGTTCTGCCTGCTACTGTTGTTACAAGACCCCCTGCAGCATTTTATCAGGAGTTTACGTTTTATTTGTAAAAACATGGCCATGGGGCCGGCCCCGTGGCCGAGTGGTTAAGTTCGCACGCTCTGCTGCAGCGGCCCAGGGTTTCGCCGGTTCGGATCCTGGGCGCGGCCATGGCACCCCTCATCAGGCCTCGCTGAGGTGGCGTCCCACATGTCACAGCTAGAAGGACCCACAACTGAAATACACAACTATGTACCCGGGGCGATTTGGGGAGAAAAAGCAGACAGAAAAAAAAAAAAAATTGGCAACAGTTGTTAGCGCAGGTGCCAATCTTTAAAAGAAAAAAAATAAACACGACCAGATTAAAGGAAACCTTTTTGGCGGTTTGATCGAAAAGGCAGCCTGCGTCCATGGGCTAAGGACTCGCAGCCGTGGTGGGAAACGCCGCCAGCGACAGGGCGCCATCCCCCCCCGGCAGTTTCTCATTTTCCGTCTGGAGCCATCTCACCCCTGTGGGTATAGTTACCGTTTGCTGCGGCCCAGCAAGGGGACCCTTGGTTGTTACGATTTTTCCTGTCTTGTTGCAAAGGCAAGTCGCTCTGTGTGGTTCTGCTGCAGACTCTTTGTCTCAAAGCGCAGCACCCTGGCTCCCGACGTCCACACGCTGGTCGCATGACTGGGGAAAGGCCTCGCTGGTGTGGACGGAGGCCATGCCCGTCCCAACAGCTCTCTCCAGGCCCTGACCTGACCCAGCCTCCCTGCAAGGCATCGCCCCAGTTTTTAGAGGAGGAGTCTGAGGGTCAGAGAGGTGGTGAGAGGCGTGGGTTTGTCCCCGGGCTCCTCCGCCCCCCAATCCACCCCACCCCACGACAGCCCCTATTTCCACACTCAGGACAAACTCAGTCTCTGAGACAGAGTGAGGCAGAGCAGGTGAGGGTTGTTCAAGAACCCCATGGCCCTCCAGGTCGCTCCCTTCTGGGGTCCCAGCCTGCATCTTGTTGTCGTTTTTTTTTTTCTTTTGAGGAAGAGTAGCCCTGAGCTGACATCTGCTGCCAATCCTCCTCTTTTTGCTGAGGAAGACTGGCCCTGAGCTAACATCTGTGCCCATCTTCCTCTACTTTATATGTGGGACGCCTACCACAGCATGGCTTGACAAGCGGTGCTGTGTCCACACCTGGGATCCGAACTGGTGAACCCTGGGCCACCGAAGTGGAACGTGCGCACTTAACTGCTGCGCCACCTGGCCGGCCCCTACCGTTGTCATTTTAACCCTTGCCAGGCACAGCCCTTGGCCGGCCTTTGCACCCTGAGCCTGTTTTCTCAGACAGAAGGGGGGCCAGCGCTATCATGCTGGGGAGCGTTGGTGGAGAGGCCCCAGCACCCAGTAGGAACTTCTCTGCTCCCACCACCTTCCGGAAAACTCCACCCCATGCCCTGCATTTGTCCCCTGTGGTTTCGGGGTGCTGGACGAATCTCCTGCCTGTGGGTGTCCTTCCTACTTTCCCTCCTCGCACATTTATTAAGCACCAACTGTGCATCAGGTGCTGGGGTGGGCCCCAGGGTCCCAGCTCGACCGAGACGAGGTTGGCACCTGCTGTCATGGAGGAGTAGACGTCTAGTGACATCCCTGGATCATAACCATGAGGAAGAGGCTGGCGGGGGGGAACCAGGTCAGGGAGGGCTTCCCTGAGGAGGTATGAGTCCTGGTATGGGGAACAGCATGTGCAAAGGCCCTGAGGCCGGAAGGGGCCAGCACTGGAGCAGCTAGGCCACGTGGTGGGGGTGGAGGTGCCAGCAGGGAAGTTTGGGGCTGTGCGGGGCCATGAGGGCGGCCAGAGCCAGAGGGTGATAGGAACATTTCACAAGCCCACCCCTGCCGCGTTGGAGAGGGGTGGCCCGAGCCCAGCCATGCCCGCGGCTCCCTGACCTCCCAGTTGCTCACAGGCAAGGTGGTGTGTGAGGAACCCAACAGCCGGATGCACCAGTTTGTGGGGTGCCTGGAGTGGATGGGGAGGAAATACCCCCTGGACATCGGCAACATCCTCCTACGAGGCTGCAAGATCCGGAACACGCACACCTGCTACGGGCTGGTCATCTACGCGGGTACCGCCCCTCTGGGCCCCGGAGTGTGAGCTGTCCTGGGGGGGGCGGTGAGAACCCTGAAGTCATCGGCAAGAAGTCACAAAGCCAGGCCCGGCTGCCACATGCATCTGTCCCGTGATGTGGGGCTCCTGGCGTGGCCTCTCTGGACCCTGGGTTCTGAAACTGTAGAGATGGACGTGTTCAGCCAGCGTCCTTGTCTTGGCTGGAAGAAGTGGGATGCTTGTGTGTCAACAGGAGAATGGGCGGCTGGACAGGTGGATGGATGGATGGGGGTGTGGGTGGAGGGTGGGTTGACGAGGGATGGAGGATGGGGTGAGTGGGTGGGCGGGTGGGTGGATAGAAAAACATGGAAGGGCCGGCCTGGTGATGCGGCAGTTAAGTTCACACGTTCTGCTTCTTGGCGGCCTGGAATTCGCCGGTTCAGATCCCAGGGGCAGACATGGCACCGCTTGGCAAAAGCCATGCTGTGGTAGGCATCCCACGTATAAAGTAGAAGGAGATGGGCACGGATGTTAGCTCAGGCCAGTCTTCCTCAGCAAAAAGAGGAGGATTGGCAGCAGTTAGCTCAGGGATAATCTTCCTCAAAACAAACAAACAAACAAACAGATGGATATATGGAAGGAGGGGTGGATGGATGGAAGGATGAATGGAGGGATGGATGGAAGGGATAGAGGGATGGATGGATGGATGGATGAAGGGATGGATGGATGGAAAAATGGAGGAATGAATGGAGGGATGGAGGGAGTGATGGATGGATGATGGATGGATGGAGGGAGGGATGGATGGAGGGATGGAGGGATGGAGGGATCGATGGAGGGAGGGAGGGAGGGAGGGATGGATGGAGGGATGGATGGTTGGAGGGGTGGATGGAAGGAGGGATGGAGGGATGGATGGAAGGAGGGATGCAAACCCTGCAGGTTTTGACACGAAGATCATGAGGAACTGTGGCAAGATCCACCTGAAGAGAACCAAGCTAGACCTCCTGATCAACAGGCTGGTGATCGTGGTAAGCGGCCCGGGGCCCCTGCCCTGGGGGCACGGCGCACCCACAGAAGCCCCGCCGCCGTCTTCCAGGCCTGTCTCCCCTCTTCAAAATGTGCGGCCTGATCCCACGGACAGGTCTGTGGGCCAGAGAATCTTTTCTTAAAACAACGATTAAAAAAAAAAATGTTTCTGTAAGACAAATTTTGATCCTGACTTTTCCCAAAATCTCAGGAGATCATAAAACGCTCCCCTCCTCTCCTGACCTTTAACACCCCTTAACTTTCTGTGCAGTCAACTTTATCTTCTTAAAAGTTACTGTAATAATAATTTAAAAAAACAGCAGCTGGGACACCTGGCCAAACCCTGCCGTTCCCCGCCTCCCCGCTCCGGGACGGCCAGCTGCCTCCCCGCCGCCCCTTCATCCTGATGGCAGAGCCCGGGGCGGAGGTCCCGTGTCCGCGTTTGTCCTTTCTTGCCGAGCGTGTCACCACCAGCGAGTCCCCGGGGTGTCTCGGGGCCGCCCGGGTGCCCCCACGCTTGGCCGTCTCCCGCCCGCCCCACAGATCTTTGTGTCCCTGGTGCTGATCTCGGCGGCCCTGACCGTGGGCTTCTGGTACAAGGTGAAGGAGTTCAAGACCAAGCACCACTACGTGGCCGCCAAGCACGCGCGCACCATGGCCACCGAGTCCTTCTTCATCTTCTGGGGCTTCCTCATCCTGCTGAGCGTCATGGTGCCCATGGCCATGTTCATCATGTGGGTCCCCGGGGCCCCCCTCCCACTGCCCGCCCGCCAGCCCGCTCCCCGGGGGGCACGGGGGGCCAGGGAAGTGACCCGGCTGCCTTTGCAGGGCCGAGTTCATCTACCTGGGGAACAGCGTCTTCATCAACTGGGACACGCAGATGTACTACGAGCCGAAAGATATGCCCGCCAAGGCCCGCAGCACGAGCCTCAACGACCAGCTGGGCCAGGTGGAGTACATCTTCTCGGACAAGACCGGCACGCTCACCCAGAACATCATGACTTTCAAGAAATGCTGCATCAACGGCGTCCTCTACGGTGGGGCCCCGCCCGGCACCCTGCCGCGGCCGGGACACTGGCCTTGGGCTGATGGAGGGCCCCCCCCAGGGGGCTGCGTGGGTCTCGTGGATGTCCCACCTGCCCCGTGCCTGGCACTCCCACCCAGATCGAGCCACAGAACCGCGGCCTCATGTCATTTGGGGGTTGACAGACTGAACTTGGGAGCCCCGGCCACTGTGGGCATGTGGACGCTGAATTTCGAATTTTCATGGCGTTTGTTGTGTCACGGGATAATGTCCTTGTTACAATTTCCCCCAAGCCGTTTAGAAACGTGAAAACCCTTCCGAGCTCGCGGGCCACACGAAAATGGGTGGCGGGGTGGGCGTAGGTCTCCACCCCCGGTCTAGCTTCCAACAAGGGCACGTGGTCTAGACCAGAAGCTGGCAGAGGACCCGGCCGGGTCATAATCAGGGCGGGTGGGGCAGCGACCAGCACCTCTGGCAAATGCCACCTGACCCTCGGCCGGGGACTGGGAGGGGGGCGATAGGGAGCAGTGGGGTCTGTGGCAAGCGGCATCCACCCCGGGCCGGGTCCTGTGATGTTCCTAGAAGCACTGTGGACCCAGGTTTTCATGTGAAATCATCCAGTTTTTCAAAGTAAGCAGCCAGGTTTCCCAGTTTTCAAAGGACACCATGAGGACATAAGACAAAACGTGTTTCTTAGGACCGAGTCCCCCTCCGGGCTGCCCTCCTGGGCCCCCTGGGAGATGGGGCTGCCTCTTTCCCTCCTTTGAGCAAAGGTGAGGCTGAGGCTGGGGGTCCTTGGTTGCTGGGGGCGACAGGTCCTGAGCGCTGGGCCCGGCTGGTCTGACTGCATCTGGCGGCTCCAGGAAGCCTGAGCTTGGCGGGTGGGGGCTGCGGGACCCCCGAGTGGAGCCCGGGGAGCTGAGGCCTGAAGCGGGGTCTTTCTGCAGGCGACGAGGAAAAGAAGACCGGCCGCAAGGTGAGCATGGCCAACCCTGCAGCGCCGGGCGGCCGGGTGGTGGGGGGGACGGGCAGCGACGCCCCCAGAGCCGGCCCATGCGCTCACCACCCCGCAGGAGAGCCCCTACCTCTGGAACAAATTCTCCGACGGGAAGCTGCCCTTCCACAACGCGGAGCTCCTGCAGGCCGTGCGCGGCAACAAGGACAAGATGGTGCGCGAGTTCTGGCGCCTGCTGGCCATCTGCCACACGGTGATGGTGCAGGAAAGGAACAGTGAGTGCCCGGCCGGCCTGTGCCACCTCCACCTGCCCGAGAGGGTGCTCTGGCCCCCGTCCCAAGCCTCACCTCTTGTGGACCTAGAGGGCGTCCAGGCCAGGGGCTCGAGGTCTGTTATCGAGCCGGGAGGGGGAGGTCCTCAAGGCTGGGGCCCAGGCATCCAGCTTCCTTTACTGGGCTTAGAGGTTGTACCGGCCCAGGGACCCTCATCCCACAAATATCTGGTGTGCTTCCGCCCTGTGCTGGGGATGGAAGCAGAACCGGCCGCCAGGGTTGGGGTCGGGGTGGGTCCTGACCGACCGGGTTGTTCTCAGCGAACCGCTGGTCCCGCCCCGCGGCCCCCTCCCCCTCCAGACCAGCTGTTGTACCAGGCGGCGTCGCCCGATGAGGAGGCGCTGGTGACGGCCGCGCGGAATTTCGGCTACGTGTTCCTGGCGCGCACGCAGGACAGCATCACGGTGATGGAGCTGGGCGAGGAGCGGGTGTACCAGGTGCTGGCCATGATGGACTTCAACAGTGTCCGAAAGCGCATGTCGGTGCTGGGTGAGCGGCGCTAGGTGGCCGGTCCCCTGGGGCCCAGAGCCCTCGCCTCCCCCCCTGGACGGGGGTGGAGGCGGGCGGGGAGGGGAGCGCGTGTGGTGGGCAGCCCGGCCTCTCCCTCCGCAGTCCAAGACCCCGAGGGCTCCATCTACCTGTATACCAAAGGCGCCGACACGGTCATCTTTGAGCGCTTGCGCAAGAAAGGCGTGATGGAGTGGACCACGGAGGACATCCTGGCCGTGAGTCCTTGTGGGACGTGAGGGCAGATGGGCAGGGATTGAGGGCCCAGGGACAGGAGGAGGGGGGCAAAGGAGGACAGTGTGTAGAGAAATGGCCTCAGGTAACCATGTACAGTTGGCCAGGTTGTGCACTGCCCGAAGTCCTTTCTGCCTCCACCCCCCATCCCGCACACACATGGGCTGGGAGGGGGCTGAACTTCAAGCTGCACTTGCTCAGAGGGGGTGACTTTTTCTCAGTTACTCAAAGGCACCTTGTGGTTGGCCTTTGACCCTGGACGCTGCCCCCCTCCCGGCCAAATCTTTCCTCTCTGTGGCTGGATCCCAAACTCCTCAGCCCAGCTTTCGAGGCTGCGTCTTTCTTCCCATCTAGCCTGGTATGGCCTTGCCCCTTGAGGAGTTCCCAGGACCCCCATTTCTGGCTTGCAGTTTCCCCGTGCTCAGGTGATGCCTCAGGACCTTTGCATGCACTCTCCCTCCTGCTTGGAATGCCTTCCTCCTCTTAGTCACTCAGGATCTTTGGGGACCCAGGGCTCAGCCACAAGGTCCCCACCTCCAGGGAGCCTCTCCTGCCTGGACCCTAACATGGGGCTGGCGTACGATGCCGGCACCTCTCTCTCTGTCTTATCCTTGACCCTGTGGGGCTCCCCGAGGACTTTGCTGGGTCCCCAACATCAGTCCGCACAGGGGCCAGTGGTGGGAGCTGTTTGTGGAAAGAATGTCACGCATCCCTCTGCTTCGGGCCTCCCAGAGTGCCCTGCGCTGCTGGGAGCGGGGAGCGGGGTGTGTGGGGAGCCGGGAGTCAGGTCTCCGACTCAGAACTAGGGAACTGCAGTCAGATCATGACCCAGAGCCCAGGAGTAAGACGGCTCGGCTCAACGGCCCCATGGAACAGATGGGTAAACTGAGGCACAAGAGGGACAAAGGCCTGTCTGAAGCTCCTGATGCCCAGGGGCCGCCCTCCAGTCAAGAGCAAAATTGAGAGACACCGGGGGCCACCGGTTGGGGCAGAAAGCAGGGGGCAGGGTGGGGGGCATAGGATGGAAGCAGGAGCCATGGCAGATGCCTTCCTCAGGGCCACCTGGTCCCCAGAGCAGCGTCCCTGGGGTGAGCGAGCTCTGGGTCCCCCCCACCCCGGGGACCTCGAGACAGAGTCCCTCAGGATCCTTCCTGTTCCCTCCCCACCCCGAGGCCTCAGCCCCTTGAGAAATGAGGCCAAGTGTGGGGCGCAGACATTCCTGGGCCCCGGGGTCCGGGAGGGGCCCAGGGGGCTGCACCCAGGGTCTTGCAGGGTCATTAGAAATGGCCACACCTGGGGCCAGCCCGGTGGTGCAGCGGTTAAGTGCACACATTCCGCTTCGGCGGCCCAGTGTTCGCTGGTTCGGATCGCCATGCTGTGGTAGGCGTCCCACATAGAAAGTAGAGGAAGATGGGCACGGATGTTAGCTCAGGGCCAGTCTTCCTCGGCAAAAAAAAAAGAGGAGGATTGGCAGAGGATGTTAGCTCAGGGCTGATCTTCTTCTTCAAAAAAGAAATGGCCACGTGAAGCGGCAGGAGGGGGCTGCTGGCCAGGGGACCTGAGGTGCAGAGGTCTGGAGGCAGAATGGGGCTGGGCACCAGGGGGCCCAGGGGCCCAGACAGGGCAGGTTTGGGCCCCGGGTGGTGCACCACCCACCCCTCTCTTGGGGGAGGACGGGCTGTGGGTGGGGACAAGGTCCCAGGAGCGCAGGCAGAGGGCAGGGCCGGGGGCGGGGCTGGAGGCGTGCAAGGAGTCAAGGTGGTGACCGGGTGGTGCCCGCCCGCCGGCCCCCAGTCTTTGGCTGAGCAGACCCTGCGGACGCTGTGCCTGGCCTACAAGGAGGTGGACAAGGATGCGTATGAGCAGTGGCACCAGCGCCACCAGGAGGCCAGCCTCCTGCTGCAGAACCGGGCCCACGCCCTGCACCAGCTGTATGAGGAGATGGAGCAGAACCTCCAGGTGGGCGGAGCGTGGGGGCGGGCCCGGGACCCCCACCCCTGCCGGGAGCTGGCTCCCTGCTCAGTCTCTTCCCTGCCCCCCGCCCCGTGCCCCCTCAGCTGCTGGGAGCCACAGCCATCGAGGACAGGCTCCAGGACGGCATCCCCGAAACCATCCAGTGTCTCAAGCAGGGGAACATCAAAGTGTGGGTGCTCACAGGGGACAAGCAAGGTGCGTTGGGGGTGGCCGCCCTCAGCGTGGAGACAAGGGAGGCGGGTGGGAGAGAGTCATAACCTGCTCGGAGCACCACCGTCCACCCCTCCCGCCTGTGTGGGTTCAGCGTTGTCCTCCACCTTGTCTCTGGGAGAAGAGAAACTGGAACAATGAAAAATGCTGGGGTTCCCAGGGCACCTCCCTCAGGTGGGCAGTGTGGTGCCGGGTGCTTCCTGTGAGGTGGGGCCCTCGGTCCTCCCTTGTCACAGATGGCCCAGTGGGGCTCAGAGAGTTTGGGGCACCTGCCGGAGGTTGCCCAGCGACTTAGGCAAAAAGCTAGCCCACCTCGGGTCCAGTGGGCCTGGAGACCTGACTGGCCACCACCCCTGCAAGTTCTCTGGGACCCCACTGGGCACGGGTGCCAGCGGGGCCACATTAGGACTTCTGTGGGCATGAGCCACACACATGCACACAATATTGAAAATGACATCTCACAGCCGTGTCGGGATAAAGACAAATATCCAGGCCGGGTTACGGTCACTTTTGTTTTTCCTTCTGATTTGAACGGGAATTAGGTCATTTTCGTGGGTTCCTAAAAGTGCCCAGGGCCCTGGGCTTGCTGTGTCTCCCATTCCCCCTTGGCCGTGGCCTCAGACTCACCTCTTTCCAGGAGCCTGGCCCCAGCCAGCTGGAGGGGCGGTCCCTCTGCTCAGAGCTGCAGCCAAAGTCTCAAGGCTGGCTCTCATTGGCCGGCCTAGGTCACATGCCCTCCTCTGAGCCAATCACCGTGGCCGGGGGGCGGGGCGTGCTGCTGTGATGGGCGGGGCTGGGTCTCCGGGGCGGAGGGGGCGTGGCCCGGGCGGAGGCTGCCCGGTGCTGAGCCCGCCGCTTTGCAGAGACGGCGGTGAACATCGGCTTTGCCTGTCAGCTGCTCTCGGAGAACATGCTCATCCTGGAGGAGAAGGAGATCACGTGAGCAGCGGGGACCGGGGCCCGGGCCGAGGCCGGGGCGGGGGCGGGGGCGGGCACCCCCAGCCCTGGGGGTCTGCCGAGCGCGCTCCCCTCCACCTGGGGCTGGGCTCCCAGGGCGGGGAAACCGAGGCACGGCTGCGGAGGGCCTGGAGAGGGCTGAGCCCCAGCTGGGTCCCCACCCCCCCAGTCGGATCCTGGAGGCCTACTGGGAGAGCAACAACAACCTGCTGGGAAAGAACTGCCTGAAGAAGCGGTTCCTGCCACAGGTCAAGATGGCCATGGTCATCAACGGGGATTTCCTGGTCAGTGCCCGCTCAGGGAGGATGCGGGGGCGCCCTGGCGCTCGGGAGGGGGCTGGGAGGACCCGCGGGGCCGGAGGTGGGAGGTGGAAGGGGCAGAGCCAGGGAGGGTCAGGTCCAGCCTAGGGGTGGCCCGGGAGGAGCGGAGTGATGCGCCCCCTGCCCCCCGACCCCCTCGTCCAGGACCAGCTGCTGCTGTCCCTGCGCAAGGAGCCGCGGGCGCTGGTCCAGAGCGCGGACGCGGACGCGGAGGAGCCGTGGCAGGAGCCCGGCGAGAGGAGGACGGACTTCCTGCAGGCCCGGCGGCTGTCCCTGATGTGGCGCTCCCTCGGGACGCAGCTGAGGAGCACGGGGCTGGCGTCGCCGGACCAGAAGGCGCGCGCCCGCGAGAGCCCCGAGATGCGGCGGGAGCGCGCCTTCGTGGAGCTGGCCTCGCGGTGCCAAGCGGTCATCTGCTGCCGGGTGACGCCCAAGCAGAAGGCCTTGATCGTGGCCCTGGTCAAGAAATACCAGCACGTGGTGACCCTGGCCATCGGCGACGGCGCCAACGACGTCAACATGATCAAGAGTGGGTGGTGGGCAGTGGGAGGTGGTGGGCGCCGGGCGGGCTGGGGGCGGCCGGGACGGACAAGCTGTGTGTGTCCCCCTCGCAGCCGCGGACATCGGCGTGGGGCTGGCCGGCCAGGAGGGCATGCAGGCCACGCAGAACAGCGACTACGTGCTGGCCCAGTTCTGCTTCCTGCAGCGGCTGCTGCTGGTGCACGGGCGCTGGTCCTACCTGCGCGTCTGCAAGTTCCTGCGCTATTTCATCTATAAGACGCTGGCCAGCATGATGGCCCAGGTCTGGTTCGCCTTCTACAGCGGCTTCACCGCCCAGGTGCGCTGCAGGGAACGGCTGTGTCTCTCCCGTAGTCTTCGCAGAGAAGCCGGCGTGCTCACACTCTGGGGTCCTCAGGAGGCGGGGCTGGCCTGAGGTCACAGAGCAATGCAGCCTCTTGCATGGCTGCATTCATAGAGGCATAGAGTCCAGGGAAAGGGAGGGGATTGTTTCTGCTCAGCTCTGTGCCCAACATTTTCAGGCCTGTTTGGCAAATTGGAGCTTTGCAACAAGGGCAGGGCAGATGCCCCAAATGGGTGTCCTTCTAGGGAGAGAGGGACACCCTGAACCCCAGAGAATGTGACTGTGAGGGCTGCTTCCTGACTTGAAACTACTCAATGGTATCAGGGCGGAGACTAGATGTGCTCTCTGGGGCCTTAGAAGAATCATAGGGCTGTGTGAGGGAGTGAGCTCCCCGTCACTCATACCCAGGCATTTAAGCGGGAGTTCGACAGAGGCGCCCTTGACAAATACGTATCGCTCCTTTCACTTTTTTATTTCTAGACATTTTATTCTCTTAGACGCTACTTTAGAGGGCGTTGTTTTCTTAATTCCCTTCGGGGACGGCTCGTGGCTGCTGTACAGAAACACAGATGGTTTTCTGTAGGTTGATCTGTGCCCTGAGATTTGTGAATTCCTTCGTCGGCTCTTCCTTGTCAACTGGAATTCTTTGCAGGAAGAGCGGCTCCTTCTCCCCCATTTCTTTATTCAGTTCCTTATTCCTCTCCGTGTGGACTCACGGAGGTTTACTCTGTTCTCTATTTTGTTGCTCGGATTGTCCCCGATTTGTCCTTGGGACACGTGTCTGCTCTTCTCCGAGCGCATCCTCACTTCCTGGGGCTACAAAGGGGTTCCCTGAGCAAAGCCTGGGGTCAGCAGCTCCCGTGAGGAGCTCCGCGTCTTTGCACGAGAGAAGGGCAGTTGGACACCCAGATCCCTGTGGCCGCTGTGCTCATCGCTGCTGGGCGCGCAGCCGTCTCAGCAGATGGAGCCAGCGACGCGCACGTGGTAACCACGTGCCGACCCACAGCCACGCCTGTGTCTCTCCGTCTGTCTGTCTCTGTGTCCTTTAAAGACCATGAGTTCACGCTGAGTCCGGTCCCACAGCGCAAGGCGCAGCTTAGCCTTTTCCACATCCTCGTCTGTGACTCTCTCCTCCGACAGTGAGAAATTCAAATTCTCGCAAACTTCCTGCTTGTTACCTATTTGCTCGGGCCCAGAAGGCACAGGAAGTGGTTTTTCGGAACCGAAACCCATCTCCTTTGAACTGGACTGCATTCCTGCATCGGGAAGGGAGCTGAGCTCCCTACCTGTGGGGTCTCTTCCGAATCTCTCACCCACCAGTGATTCCCTGAATCTAAAATGGTCTGAAAACGCATTCCCCAGCCGTGTTTCCTCCTGTGGCTCCTTGGGGAAGCCAGCCAGTCCCAACCCACGCAGAGGCGCTGTTTTAATAAGATTAGATTGTACTTTTTCCCTCTGCCTTTTATCTTCCAGCTTTTCTCAAGCCTCACTTAACCCACCCCTGGTCTTAGCCCCAAACTTGATTGCAATGTGACTTTCCAGCTCACCTGGAATCCTCTCCTGGAGCGGGGGCCCAGCTAGCTTGGGTGGGTCTCCTCAGGGAAAGATGCGTTTCTGGTTCCGCTGACCGCGTTCTCCTCCCCGCCGCCGCCCCCCAGCCCCTGTACGAAGGCTGGTTCCTGGCGCTCTTCAACCTGCTGTATACCACCCTTCCGGTCCTGTACATCGGCCTGTTCGAGCAGGTGAGCAGCCCGAGGCCTGGCTTCCTCCTTCCCTGAGGATGCTCCTGTCTCTGTGCCCCCTCCTCCCGCTGGGGGCCTAGGGTGGCGTGGGGGCCATCTCCCACCCCTGAGCCGGTCCCAAGATGCTGCCGCTCCCTACCCACTATGCCCCGTTGCCAGGACGTGAGTGCGGAGCAGAGCCTGAAGTTGCCGGAGCTATACATCGTGGGCCAGAAGGACGAGCTCTTTAACTACTGGGTCTTTCTCCAAGCTGTGGCCCACGGCATGGGCACCTCCCTGGTCAACTTCTTCATGACCCTGTGGGTCTGCCGTGATTCGGGCGGGCCCGTCATCTTCGGCGACTATCAGTCATTTGCCGAGGTCGTGGCCCTGTCGGGCCTGCTGTCCATCACCATGGAGGTAAGGGGGCCTCGGACACGGGCCGCTGAGGTCTCGCCGCCGGGTGAGCCTGCCCTTTGTGGACCCCGGGGGGCTCAGCCCTCGCCCTCCTCCACGGAGCCCAGCCCCGGGGTTCCCGCCCGCCCCTGCTTACCCCTCGCTCCTCGTGCAGGTCATCCTCATCCTCAAATACTGGACCGTCCTGTTTGTGCTGGCCATTCTCCTCAGCCTCTGTTTGTACATACTCATGACTTGGGCCAGCCAGAGCTTCTGGCTCTTCAAACTCTCCCCCAAGACCTTCCCGTTTCTGTGTGAGCCCCCAGCAGGGGACGGGGTGGCGGGCCCCGGAGATGGGCGTGCCCAGGACGGAGCGCCTGCTCTGCCCTCCCTGACCCGCCGTCTCCTTGGCCGCGCATGGGGAGGCGCGAGCGCCTTTTGGGAATTTGCACAAAGGTGTCCCTCTGGGGGGGAAGAGAGGGGGCGGAGGTGGGGTGTCGGGCGGAGCGGGCAGCAAGCAGGCTCTGGGGAGGCTCCATCCTGGGCCGGGCCGTGACCCTGCCCTCTCACCAGACGCTGATCGCAACGTGCTGTCCCAGTCCCCCATCCTGCTGGTGATCCTGGTGAACGTGTCGTTGAACACGCTGCCTGTGCTGGCCTTCCGTCTCATTCACCAGACCCTCAAGAAGCCACGCCCCAAGGTGAGGGGGCCTGGGCTCCCTGCTGGGCGTTCCCCTGATCCAGAGTTTGTCCCAGGGAAGGACTCTGATTGGCTGGCCCAGAGGTAAGTCCCAGGGAAGGACTCTGATTTGCTGGCCCGGAGTTAAGTCTCAGGGAAGGACTCTGATTGGCTGGCTCGGAGTTAAGTCTCAGGCTAGGACTCTGACTGGCTGGCCCAGAGTTAAGTCCCAGGGAAGGACTCTGATTTGCTAGCCCAGAGGTAAGTCCCAGGGAAGGACTCTGGTTGGCTGGCCCGGAGTTAAGTTCCAGGGAAGGACTCTGATTTGCTGGCCCAGAGTTAAGTCTCAGGGAAGGACTCTGATTGGCTGGCCTGGAGTTAAGTCTCAGGGAAGAACTCTGATTGGCTGGCCCAGAGTTAAGTCTCAGGAAAGGACTCTGATTGGCTGGTCCAGAATTAAGCCCCAGGGAAGGACTCTAGTTGGGTCAACCTGGGTAAGGAAGAGCCTGGCCAGTCAATGGTGGCCAAGGGCTCTGAATGACCCCCATGAAGGAGCAGGCTACCTGAGAGCAATCAGCATGGTGTGGGAGGCTGCTGACCCTCGCCCTCCCCTTTGCTGTGCAGGAGGAGGAGGAGGCCCCGAGTGAGGAGCTCGTCACCCCGGAGCCCATGCCCTACATACACCGGGAGTCACGTGGCCGGCGCTCCAGCTATGCCTTCTCCCACCGTGAGGGCTACGCAGACCTCATCACACAGGGCACCAGTCTGCGGAAGCCACCAGGGGTCAACAGCGACATGCTGACTGAACAGAAGGTCCCATCCGATGAGGAGCTCCCCCCGAGTTTCGAAGAGCTACCCTGGTACTCCAGGAGGATGTCATTCCTGGGGAGGAAGAGACACCAGCACCGGGGTAAGGTGTCCTCTGAGGACATGCAGCCCACCACTGTGGTGAGCTCATCCTTCACTGTGGACGGGCCATCCTCTCCTCATCTGAAGAACCAACTCTCCCTCGCCAGGAGCGTGGCTGCCAGCACAGAGTGGCAATCCAGGTCTTTCCAGGAGAAGTTGCCAGTGAAGCAGGGGAGGTCACTATCGGTTGGGTACTGGTCATTTTCTCTTCCTAAGAGGCTGCCACTAGCCAGGAAGAGGCCACCCTCCCTTCAAGACATGCCACTGTCACTCAGGGAAAACCAGCTGCCGCTGTCTGGGAGTCAGCCACCGTCTTCGGGACAGCTGCCTTTGGAGAGCCAGCCAGGAGCCTGGGAAGCAAGGAAACCCCTCTGGAGTGTCTCGCTGCCGTCCTTGAAGAGCTTGGAAAAGGAGCTCGAGCTCCCAGAGGAGGAGGAGCTGGGGCCACCTCCCACCGACACCTCTTCTACCCTGGTGGAAGTCACGCCACTGTCTACAGAAGAGTCATCCGCCTACGAGCTGCCCATGGAGGGGGAGCCCGGGCCGGAGGAGGGGCAGCCGGCGGTGCCCAGTGGGGACCAAGTGCCACCCAACCCAGCAGAACAGCCGCCCCTGCCTGAGAAGGACCAGTGACCGCCCAGGCTTTGTCAGCATCAACCGGCGAGCATGAGGCCGTCCCCCGAAGACAACGGCTCCACGTCCTTTTCTTTCTCTAATAAACCAGGGTCCCTCGGACCCAGGGCTCCCCGAGGCTCCCTCACTTCCTTTTACCTCTTTCTCTGGTGCCTCATGGAACCATCTTCCCTGGTTTTAAAGATGAAAACCCTGACCCCTAGTGGCCTGATGGGGGATTTGCAGGGAAAGCGTCTCTTTCCTTTGGGATTTCTTCTGGTGGAGAAGGTGGATGGAGCTGGATGGCTCTCGCAGAGGAGGGAGGTGCCAAGCAGATTCTGCTGACCGGCCCTGGCTCCCAGACCGCTGCCTCCCGGCCCCTTCCCAGGCATCAGCTGAGGTCCACTTGCGGCACCACCCAGCCTCTTCCACCACCAGGCCGCCTTGCCTTCTGCCCCTCCACCGGGAGGAGGGGGGATGCACAACCTCCTCGTGCTTCAGGCTCCAGAGAGCAACGGGCAGCGACGCCTCCCAGACCCAGGCCCTGAGGCTCCCGCAAAGGCCCACAGCTCTGCTCTCAGATCCTTAACCATCCCGTGGAAGGTGGAGGCCCGCGGGGTGGGGGCTCAGGGAGGGCGGCTGCCAAGGAAGAGGGCAGGGCGCGGAGCGCAGAGGTGGGCTGGGAGAGGCGGCCTACCCCTCCCTCGACCCTTCCTCCCTCCCCCTCCTCACGGTGGGCAGCCCTCCCCTCGCCTGCACCTGCCGCCCCCCAGCCCACCACCTTCGGCCAACACACACACTCAGGTGAGTGACTTGAAAATAATTTATTGAAGAAAAACAAAACAACAGATCCAGCACAGCAACGGTTAACAATGATGATGATTTTTTTTCTTTTTTTTAAACTTTTAAGCCTGTCGCCTGAGGGTGGGGTGGAGATGGCGTCCATTCCCTCTAGCACTGGGGGGGGGGGGCTTCGGATGACCCATGTAGTGTCTCCCCTTAAAGCAGCCCCAGTGTCCAGTCCCGATTAAACACTCAGGGCCAGGCGGCCTCTTGGCCTTCCCTCACCCCAGGCTGAGAGAATCCCCCCAAAGACCAGCCCCTGGGGGGTCAGCTGGGGCCACCAGGAGGAGCCCCGGGATGTGATGGGCAGAGAATGCGACTGGGCCCAAGTTCCAGCTGGCACGGGGGCTCGGCGGGAGAGGCCTGGGAGCATGACCCCTGGCCCTCATTTGGGGTGGGTTGAGCCTGCGGCCTTGGGCCCACCCTCCACGGGGGGCTTCTGTTCTCCAGGGTGTAAGGGACCCCCTCTGGCTACCACAATCCACTGCCTGGGGCCCGGCCTGGAGAGCGGGCTCTCTCCTGTGGGGAGTGTGGGACCTCGTGGCAGAAGTGGAGTCACAGGCAGAGAGGTTGTCCCGGGGCCCCGTTTCATGATCTTCGGGCAGCCCCTCTGTTCTCTAGGGTCCCAACGTGGGTCAGGAGGGAGGGGTCCCCAGGTGTGCATCCCCCCATCTCCCAGGCCGGAAGGAAAGGTGGACCCATGCCCAGCCCAGGGCCAAGGGGGATGAAGGTGTTGGTGGAGCTCCCCTGCGTGCCTGCCTGGGGAGGGGGGCGTCTCAGGAGGGCCCCTCGGATCTCAGAAGGTTGGGTACGCCCCAGCCCCCCACCGCCCTGGGCGACAAGACTTGAATTGTCTGATTGTCTCTCTCCTCTGAACAAGACACTTGGGAATTCATGCTACCATGAAACCAACCAGGTTGGGGTCGGGGTGGGGGTCCAGGAGGGCAGTGACACCCACGGGCCCCTGAGAACGAGGAACAGGAGGCCCAGGACCCCCGCCGGGTGGCACAGGCGGGTGGCACGTGGGTGTGGGAGGTGACCAGGGTTGGGTGCTGAGGCCCTGCAGCCATCGGCTCCTTCCTGCCTCTCCACCTGCCTCTGGGCCAGCTGGCCAGACACAGATCCTGGCCACGGGAGAACCGACACAGAGCAGCGCGAAGGAGCCTGGGACACCCCCGCCCCGGGGGGGACGAAACACAACGATGCGACACGGAATCGGGGGCTCTGCCCACGGCCCCGCCCACCCCCCCTCCCCCTGCACATAGTACATTATCGTCAAGAAAGAGTACATTGGTCATGCAGCAAATCAAATCCCATCGCCTCTTTTTTTTTTCATTTTTCTTCCTTTTTTTTTCTTAAATTACATTTGAACACAGAACACACAGAATAATAAATACTCTCATAAGACATGACTGCAAAAAACGAGAAACAGAGCTCGCCAGAATACAGAAAGGTGCACCTCTCTCCCTCTCTCTCTCTCCCCCCCCCTTTCCTCAAGGACTCGCTCCAGCAGGACATCTGTGAGCGCCCGCCGCCGTCCCCCCCCTCCGCCCGCCCGGCCTCCGCGGGGACCACCCGGCCCCGCCCGACATTCACCAGTCTCCCACGGAACTCGCCAAAGACACGACATACCATCGTCTGCAAAATTATAATTTAACGGTATAAAGCTTCAAGTCACGTATTCCAAAAACTAGCTAAGGATTTTTTTTTTCGTATCACATAAACTATACATTAAATATTTTGAGGTATTTCAGAGAAAATTGTCAAAGGCTCGAAGGAGCTGTGCTGGAGGCGGTGTTCCCTGCACGGAGAGGGGTCTTTGGTGGGTGACCACCGGCTGCGGGATGGGGCAAGGCCCAGGGTGGGGTCAGAGGGTAGAGGTCAGGGCCAGGGCCTCCTGGAGGGGGCTGGCCAAGTGGGGTGGGGGGGTGGGGAGCTGGTGTGTGTGAGCGTGTGCGCGTGTGTGCATGAAATGAGAGTGTTTGAAATGGACCCAGGAGTCCAGGGACTCTTCCATGACCTGCGTCAATGGCGGCTTGACCCAATATGATCACCGTAGAATGTTCTAGAATGTTCTACAACTAGAAGGATCCCAAGCCAACTCCTCAGTTTCCAACAGAGGACAATACCAGAGGGCCTGGTCTCTGACCCCCTGGGCATTGAACGCCAGGAACAGCAAGTGATCAACCCAGCGGAGGGTGTCGGAGAAGCCCTGTCCACTGCAAGCAGGGACTCTGGCCAGCGGGCCTGGAGGTCAGGGGAAAGTGGAAGAAAGGGGCCTCGTCCACCTGGACTCCAGCGCCCGGCGCCCAGGGAACACCACGGGAAGGACGGCAGCCGGTGTGCGTGCGTGTGTGCACACGCATATGTACGCGTGTGTCTGGGGGGAGGGGTTGGTTGCTGGGCGGGAATGGGGACCCCACCCCCACCCCCAAGGGTTCTAGAAGCATCACTCAGATCCAGTTGCTTAAAAAGCTGGGAGAATAGCAAGTCGATAAGGACATGAGAACATTCCACACACATCTTTGGTTCAAGAAAAAGGCACCCATCGACCTCACTATCCTCTTTCTCCTCTGTCTCTCTCTCTCTCTCTCTCTCATCCTTGCTCGCTCTCCGGTGGGGGACGGGGCTGAGGGACCGGGGCCTGGAGGGCAGGCCGGAAGCCGGCCTTTGCACGACCTGGGCCCAGGGTGAGGGAATGAGGGCATCCAGCACAAGTCCTTGGGGGAAATCTTTGGTATCAAGTGTGATTTTTCCAATCACAGACACGAACGCTTGAGTGAGGTAGCCTTTACCTGGGGTGGGGGGGGCATTTCCCTAGAAACGTCTTTTGCAATCTCAAGGGGGGGGTGGCCACCTCCCTGGGAGGCGGCAGAAGGGATGGGAGGCTGGGGGAGGGGAGAGGTTCCTTCTAGCCTCCAGCTCTTGAACCTCCCGGGGAGGCAGGCTCTTGGGATCCAGCTGCCGGCCAGTCTTGGAGGTCACCCGGACCTGGCTGGGACTAGACGAGCAGGGGAGGCGGGGGTGACGGGAGGTCCTCCTCTTCATCTCGGACCCTTCCTTCCCCCGGTCACTTTTTTTTGGCAAAAAAAACGGAGCGAGCAGATTCCACCTTCTTCAGCATCTTCTCTCTGCGGAGAGATAGTGGCGAGCCTGTCCCCACCTTCAGGCCCAGGCGGCACCCCCTGAGCGATGGGAGGCGGGGTGGGGGGGTGAGTTCCAGAGGGTTCCAAGCAGGAAGCAACTCCGTGACCCCAGCACGGTGGGTGGGGGGGGCTCTGGATGGGCCCTGGGGTTTCCTCCGGGTCGCGCCTCCGTGGAATCTGGATGTGTCCTTCTGTGTCCTGGCGTCTGTCTCTCCCTGCGTGTCCGTCAAGGTGCCTAAAGGTGACAGGACTGACAGCGGTGTGCCGGAGACGGGGGGCGGCTGCAATTTACCCGCATACTTGAGCCGTCCCCTCGGTCTGGACCGGGTGGGAGAGGATGCTCGCCCGGGGGGGCGCTGCAGACCCCCTCCCCAGACGTTAAGGCAGGCAATTCTTGGCACAAGGAACCCTGGCCCCCGGAGGGGCGGCTGGGTTCTCGGCTGAGCGGGGCAGATCCGCCGGCGGGTCGGGGTCGGTCTCGATGTGGGTGGGGGCGCTGCGAACATCCGGCTCCACGTGGGTTTTGGCGACTTTGGAGGGAACGGAGCTCTGGGGCGGGGGAGGGTCCGTGGGAGGACCGGTGGGCAGGAAGCCTCTCCTTGCTCCCGCTCGGGTGGGGCTGGGGGCTGGGGGCTGGCGAAGGAGGGGTTATTCTTAAAATTCCTTTTTTTTTTTTTTAAATACCCGGATTATATTTCTAGTATGTGCTTCTTGACCCGCTTTGGGGGACGACCCGGTGAGCCCTGGTTTTCCTCGAGGCCCCCCGGGGGCGTCCTGAATAGAGAGGGAGCTGGGGGGCCCCTTTCTGTCGCCCCCTCCCCGCTGGGGAGGATGGAGGGTTTCCTGTGGCCTGGAGGGGGTTGGAGTGGAGGGAGGAGGGGGCCCTGTTTGTGCACTTGGGCTGGGGGGGTGTGCTGCGTCCCCTCCCTGGGTGTGGAGGACCCCGGACTGCAAACCCTCCAGGCGCCCCCCACCCCCTCCCCGGGGCGGGTCTCCGGGCCGGCAGGGTGGGGTGGCAGGCGTGGGGGGGCGGCGCCCCGGGCCCGTCGAGGCTGGGAGGGCGCGTGGCCGGGGGTGGGGCGGGGGGCGGGGTCTCAGGCCTTGGAGAAGGTGGCGGCGGCGGCGCCGGCGGGGCCCCCTGGGGCCGCCCCGGGCTCCTCGGCCCAGCG